AAAATGATAGTTAGCTAGAGACCGTATATAGCAATCGGAGCGTACTTTTCGATGGGCCCTGGGGTTGGGGTTGGGATAATCGGTGGTGCGTGGCAAAAATTGTTGGAGAGATGAGTGGAGGTGAGAGAGAGAGAACCAGAAGAGAGTGGCGAGAGCGACAGACTACGGGACAACAAATGGCTATATACAGCCCGTAAAATCCCGTTATCCACCCGCCAAATCAACTGACTACTGTCACTTTTCATTTCCACCTCGAAAACTGGTATTGCCAGTCACAGTCGGCTGGTAGGAAACGGCGAGTTTTCGCTGAACTTGTCGGTGCTGCTTTGGCGGGAGAGAGAAAGAGAGAGCGAGACGAGAAAGGCGGAAGGCGAGATCGAGAGCGAGAGTCCGGTACATTTACGTATGTGCAATAAGATGTTCCAAAATTTTATAATGAAAAATGGTGTAATAATACCAAAATAGTGGTCCTTCGGCTCTTCGGCGTTTCTAATCCTCGTGGAAAAAATTTAAGCTAGAGACGGGAAGACGCTATTTTTTTGTAATCCGGCGCACCGTCAATTTAAAATGTCCTAAAAAAGTCAATAACTTAAGCTGAATTCTCAAATAGTATCTCCGAAAATACGCAACCCGAAAAATTGATTGAATAAAGAAAAAAATGAGAATACATGTGTTTCAAAACTATTGTTTCGAAAAAATTTGGCGATATAAAGGTAATGCTCGAATCAAATCCCGATGATGCAAAAGAAAGCTAAACTATTGTGGAAAAACAACAGTAGTCTAGCGGCGGCGGTTTTGCAAAAAAATGTTCCCAAACTGAGATAGGAAAACGTCGTGATTGCAAAATTACTACCATCCTTCTTTCCCTGGATTCTAAACTTTTGGACAGAAAAGATGGATACTACAAAGATATTTTGCAACGGCGTATTCGAACAATATACAAATACTAGCTATGCAAGAAGCTCTTTTATAAAACACGAACGGAAAAAAAATCGAAAACTCGAATAAAAAATGTTTCAATGAAAATAATGTTGGAAACTAGCAAAATCCAGGTAATGGGGGGAAACGTTTATCTTTACTTATCTTATCTGTACCATCGTTTTACTACCCCTTAATATCGGGAGCTTTCATAAAAGTAGAAAGTTAAAGAGAGAAGAGAGAGAGAGAGAGAGAGAGAGAGAGTAGAGAGAGAGAGAGAGAGAGAGCTTGAGAGAGAGCGTGTGTGGGAGAGAGAGCTGTGCGAGCACAGGCGAGAGAGCGAGTCCATGTCGCTGGCAGAGGTTATCCGGTCCAGTTTCCACCTGGCTGGTTCAGACCTCTGGGCGTAAAGTACGCGCGCATACAATGCACACGAATATTGTGCCCCTGGGGGTATTTGAGGGGAATAGTGGGGCGAGGGGGGGAGTTGACACGTTGTTTAGACTGTGCTGACCGATGTTGTGGTGGGTTGGGTGAAGGCACTCAAGTGGCCGAACCGACGAGACGACCAATGACTCGCGACAACACCCCGGGAATATTATTGACAACCTGATTGGGTCTGTAAATTAAGGCTTGAAAAGCGAGCTTGAAATACCCAAAAATGGCCAAAATATATCGAAACTCGCATTCCATGTTCATTTTCAAAGGCTATTTTTGTCGAGGATAAATTTTTAATGGCATTATTTTGAGCTGCGTTGAAAATTCGGTGTATTTTTTTGATGCGCTGTCGAATGGTGTCGAAAACGCCTTAAAATCGGAAGAAAATATCGGCATGTTTAGAACCTTCGATAAAATACAAGGTACGGTATTTTTTTAAATTCTTGATGAATTAAAGAAATGCTGTCCACTCTCTCTCTCTCTTTCTCTTTCTCTTTCTCTCTCTCCATCTCTCCCTCTCTCCCATATCTCACCATAGGCTGCCTTATCCATGGCTTTAGGAAAAATTTATACCTAGTATGGTGGCATAGATTAGCTTATCGCCGAGCCACCCTGTTCATTTTTTACAGGAAACATATTTTTTCAAAGCCCTGAGATGCATCTCTTTTAAGTAGCGTAATCTAGGGCAGAAGGAAAGGGATGCTGCGCGATGCGCGGGGTAGTGCTTAGAAAATCGACTCGCTGTTGAACTACTGCGCTAGAAATATGAATATTTAAAATTATATTCAATGTATGAATTAGTTAAAGCGGGATGAAAATTTGAAAATTGAAAAATCGAAATAGACCTAATTACTAAAGGAGCGATACAAAAATTTAGCAAATCAAAAGTTTTGAAAATTTTTGAAACAAACTTTTCCAAAAAAAACGAAAGAAAAAAAAAAAAAAAAACGAAACAAAGTTCGTATTACTTTGCCTAGTACGAATAAATTAAAATGACAAAAAATATCGAACGAATGAGCAATTGGTACTGCAAGCGAATGGTAACCGTAAACTTGGCAAATTTATGAAACACATTTTCCCAAAATAATCCCGAAAGGCGTGAAGGGCGATTTGGTGGATGTGTGAGTAATCCTGGGGGGAATCCCGTTTTGCGGTCCACCGCCGGTGGGCGCTGGAAATTGGGCGACAAATGGCTAAGTAAGCATTTTCCCGTGGGGTCGGGATTGAGGATTTGAAGGTCAGAGAGAGCGGAGAGAGAGAGAGAGAGAGAGCAAGAGAGAGCCAGAGAGAGAGAGAGAGACACGGAAAAGAACAAGAAATGACCCTGAAAATCGCCCAGTAGCAGTCAGTGGGCCAGGAAATTAACGGGGGCAAATGATAAATAATGGGCGATGGGCGGGGATTTAAAGGGACTGGAAACCGAAATTTAAAGTTAATTTTAGGTTTACTGAAAGTTTAGTTCAAAGAGCAATATTTAAAAAATAAATAGAAAAACGCTAATTTTTGAAGGAAAGTACCTAATCCCTAAAATAAGATGAAAATAAGACATCTCTCAGTCTTAAGAAAATCCATACTAGAAAAGGGTTCTGCTACGAAACACAACCCCGCTACCGTAAGCCCATCGCCAAACATGCACTTTTTGTGTTTCCCGGTCCCCCGGCGACTACGGAACAATACGGCTTTACGGGGCTGAAAAACGGCGCCACGCTTCCATTTTGCTTTTAAAAGGGATGGGAATTTCGGATATGCCTCATGGGCATTACAGTCAACCGGCTGATGGTCAAGCAATATCTTGCATGAAACATGCTTTTACAAACTTTTCTTGCCATTTTAAATCCCGCGGATCCTTGGAATTCTCACAGCATTCCTTTCCGTAAACCTTGTTTTTCCTTTGGAACTATTTTTTCGCTTGAAAAATCAGTTTGAAAGCATCTTTGATTTCATTAAAACGTCTGAATTAAAAAGTCTATACTAATGTATTAAAAAAATAAAATTTAAACGAACCCTAAAAACAAAAAAAACAGACAAACAGAATGTTTCATCTTCATCTCATTTAATGGCCCATTATATAGACTCAAGATAGACTCCTTTTCATTCCGTCTAAATTCATTTTGTCGAAATCTTTGCAAGTGGGCCAAGATCGCCTATAATTAGTTCAAACAATTCAGTAGTTTGCACGCAAAATTATGCAACACATGTTTTTTATGGTACGCAAGATGTTGCGGTGGCATATTTTGATTTTTTTAAAATCGCTGCCAAACGCCTTCAGGTATCTAGCATGAAAAGATACTTGGTTTAGCCTTAAAATAGAGCTTTAAGCACTTTATAGCCTCAGGGAATATCTACAGGAACGTGGAAAGGGCAGTTTTGGAGATAGAAATCTAACACCTCGATCCCCCGAGGCTACGGAATGCAACCGAGAACGCGAGATTCTCAAGTGAGATATGGCAAACCGTTGAAATATATGTTCTTCACGTATTCAAGAATTAATTAAAGCATTAAAATAATATGTTTAAGCAAAAATCTTAATGTTATTTTAATGATATAAATAGACAAAAATAAAAGATATAAAAACAAAATAATGGCTATAGAAATAAAAGATATGTAAAAACATTAAAAAAATTAGTTTAAGTAGTGCAAAGAATATGGTTTACAGCTTCAAATTTATATTTTAACAACTTTTCAACGATACAACGAGCGTAAAAATGATTTAATTGAAGGTTTATCTTAGCTAAAGAACCGAATAGCATTGGCCTATGGAAATTCCGTGAGGTGAGATGGGGACCCAGAGCTCGGGTTGGGCCCTAAGGCCGGAAATGGGCCCCATTTGGCCCATTTTAGAGGAGACGAGGGGGATAAGGGGAAGAAAGGCGGGGAGGAAAAGCCGCATCGTTATATTTCATCTCGTTTTTGCTGGGGGTCCTTAGCCACCCAGGCGTCCGCACATAAATTAAGCGTACCTCGGAGGCGAATGGTCGGTTTTTGAGAGACCAAGCCTAAGCCTAAGCCTAACCGAGGCCGAAGCCAAGCCGAAGCTAAGCCTAAGCTAAGCCTAAGCTAAGCCTAAGCTAAGCCTAAGCTAAGTCTAAGCTAAGCCTAAGCTAAGCCTAAGCTAAGCCTAAGCTAAGCCTAAGCATAAGCGTAAGCCTCTTTCCCTCCCCCCTCTCCCTCTCTCTCTCCCTCTCTCTCTCTCTCTCTCTCTCTTCCGTTCTCTCGTTAACAAGCATGTAATAAATACAGCCAATGCTATTTGAAAACAGCCAAAAGCAGCCAAAAAAAATAAAACGATTTTTTTGCAAGAAATATATGACAAGAAAAAATTAAAGCGTGCAATCGCTTCAAAACGGGCCAAAATAGTGAAACTCACTTTTCCAAAACCTTCAGCACTCCCTTGATATGTGACTGTTCGACAGATACCAGAAAAACGTCGGTAACCTTAGCCAGCCCGAGCTTCAGGTCCGTCTCTAAATCCAGTTACGTTCAATGAGTTGCCTTGATTAGCTATCAATCTAAAATTATACAAGCCAAAATTCTTTGAAACATAAATCATAGTTTTTTCGGTTTTTTGCCCTCACCTATCGTATCGTCGATGCGACGCCGAACCCTCAACTGGATTGTCCGCGTTTTGATGCACTAAAAATCACGAGATAATCAAATAAAAATGGGTAAAATTCTTTGATTTGCTTTTTTCATTTATCAGGTGATGGTAGCAATAGTTTCGTAGAATAACGCTTGTTGAGCTGTTTGCTTGAAACACAAAAATATACTGAAAATTGTCAGTTCTCTGTTTGAAAATGTTCCCTACATTAAAGGATTGTCCATCCCGGGGACTTGACGAAACAATTTTTTTTTGGCAGCGAACCTGTTTTTGCACAATGCGAGTTTTGAAGTCATTAAGCGGCCAGAAAAATGTTGTTTTATAATGGGGTTCGAAACATTTTTTCAATCCGGAATAAAAACCAGCTCGGAATTTTCACGTTTCCTGTTGTTTCAGAAGAATAGATATTTTACAAATTTTGCCGAAGTTGAGAATTCAATACCTGCTGCACATGATCAACGACTTCTTCGCGCGTTTTCCCATCCGGCACCCAGTCATTTACACCAATGATTTCATCCCCCACGGAAAGATTCGCTCGATCGGCCGGAGTGCCTAAAACATGGAAATGTTTAATTGTCGCTTTAAAATTACAGTGACGACAACTCCTTTTTCTAAAGACAATTTTTTTCGAAAACGGAATTTTTCGTGTTTCTTTCAATTGCCTGGATATGATTTACATTATATTTATTTTAAATTTATTTATATTTTTGATACATTTTTAAAAATCAATTTTAGTTAACACATCGCTCTAAAAAATTATGGTGATGGAAAAATCCTTTTTATCCTACTATATATAAAAAAATAGTGTGTGTGTGTGTGTGTGTGTGTGTGTGTCTGTGTACATTTGCATCCACTTCCGGATGTATGTTCCAGTCGTATCTCGATAGGGGAGGAAGTTAAAGCTACGTATGATACGTCATTAGGTGCGTAATGGTCATGACACGACTGCACGCATATGAGATTTTTAAAACAAGCCGTTTTCGATATTAAAATTAAGGTTTTGTGAAAATCTCGCTCGACAGCTTTGTTAGAAATCAATTAGCATGCACCGGAAGTGGGGGCAACCTATATAATGGGGGGAGCGGACGCGCTTTTCATTTTTCTGCAAGAAATTCAGGGGTTTATGCAAAGTAACGAAGTATGGGGGTAAGACCAGGGCCAGGGTTGAAAAGTCGCGAAGCGGCTTTTCAACCCTGGTGACGAAATCATTTTGCAAAATGGGATTTTTTGTGTTTTCATCAGACTTCTATTCTAAAATCTTCGTACTCTAATCAATCTTTGTAGGCACTGGAGGCGATAGTATTACCAAAGTAATCGTCAGGCTTTAATGGTAGAATTTAAAATGATGTCAATTAAAAAATGCTCCGGGAATTACTTGGTCGAAAATTGTCGTTTAGTTCAATTAATAATAAATTAAAATTTAGTGCTTTTTAACGCTCAGATAATTTATTCAGCGAAATAAATCAGATGCAATATTTTCGACGATCCATTAAGTACACCGTAGGCGCCATATGCAAATCCTACTATATATAAAAAAATAGTGTCTGTGTGTGTGTGTGTGTGCATTAGCATGCAACTTCCGTCCGTATGTTCCAGTCGTATCTCAAGAAAGGGAGAAGCTATGGGCATGTATGATATGTCATTAGGTGCGTAATGGTCATGACACGACTGCACGCATATGAAATTTTTGAAAATCAGCTGTTTTCGATATTAAAAATAGATTTTTGCGAAAATCTCGCTCAGCCTCTTTGTTAGAAATCAATTAGCATACACCGGAAGTGGGGAGAGCCTATATAAAGACGGGAGGGCGAGTGATTTTCATTTTTCGGCATGGGTGATTCGTGAAAAATATGCAAAGTGCAAATGTCATCGGATCAGACGGGGCCAGGGTTGGGCTAAACTCCAGATAACCCCCCCCCCCCCCAGCCGACCCCCACCTACCGTATCTCGGCTCCCTGTTCACCTACAGGTGTGTCAAGTATACCAAAATGTTCGTCTTGCTCTGGCGAGTATTTTGGTATACTTTACACACCTGTAGAGGAACAGGGAGCCGAGATACAAAAGTTGGGTGCCGGCTGGGGGGGGGGGTTATCTGGAGTCTTACCCAGGGTTGAAAAGTCGCGAAGCGGCTTTTCAACCCTGGTGTCTATTATAAAATAATAAAATCTTCTTCGGATTCCTAGATTTTGAATGTTTCAAAAAATTCCCAGCCTCCTGTGTTTGATGCCTTGGCAATCGGAGGTTGGCTTCCCCCTCGTTAAAAAATGTTGAACATGACGATTTTTATGAAAAGCGAAAACCCAATTTTGCTATAGTTATCCATTGAGTTTTATTTTTTTAATCTATTACCGTAACACATTTACCGTATATTAAGATCCGCCCGCTGCGCGTCGCGATGAAGATTACAAATCCGGCGAGGGGCAGCTTTGCATTTGGGACTTTCCGCTTGTTGGTCGTGCTCTTGCGGCGTAGCGTACTGCCCTTCCGGAGCTCGGAGAGGGCCTGGAAAGGCATCGTTGCTACGTCAAGCTACGCTAGAGTACGTTTGAGCACCTCGGATCTTGTGCATTATCGGGGGCGGGGTTATCGGGGGCGAAACCGGTTTTTCCTTAAGACCCAATTTTTTCATATAAATCTTTTCATTCCTAAATTTAGCCTGAATTTGGAAATTTGGAAATTTAAGATCTTAAAAACCTTTTTGCCACTCCAGAAGATAAAAAACCCTACAAATTTTTATCAAAAATTACAAAATTAGAGGTTTTTCCACCAAATTCCGAAAATTCCGAAGTTCTTGAGGTAGTTTCTCCGCTCGAAATACAGTCAATTTTCTCAAAACATTATGAAAACATTCGTTATAAGGGTAATAGGCATTTCCTGCCAAAAAATTACGCGGAAACTTCTTGAAGTGGCCGAGGAATTAGGTCCACCAAAAATTTGTAGCTTGGGGAAAGGCACAAAACATTTTTTTCAAAAGCAGATTTTCTTGAAATTTTTTAAATCATTGGCTAGTAAAAAATTTTAGCTGCTTCAAATATTAAGAAAAAACCTTCAACTACATGAATATTTTGAAAACTTTATGAGCCCCGGAATTTGGCATGTTTCAATTTAATTACGAAAATGAATCGACTATCTCGCGGTAATAACTTGTCGAAAATTGGTACAAACTCGTAGCAACGAAAATTACGCGGGGTGTGCATTAACATACCTGTGGGATGCTGACGCTCTTCGACATCTCGCAGCTGCTCCGCCGGCTGCTAAACGACGACAGCGAGCTCGAGAAGCTCGGGCGCCATTCCACCGAGAGGTATTCTTAAAACGAAAAATTATTAGTACCTGGGTCGTAAGCAATCCTCAAAAACTCCAAATATCGATATTTTCTTCCGAAAAAATATGCATCGATGGAATTCGAAGTAGACCCATTGGGAATTCCCATAATTCAGCAATCTCTTTTTGACGGAAATTTAATTATAACTGCCATCCCCGTGCCAAACAAGGCGCGCTAGCAAAGGTTTTTGAGGACCCTGATTTGATTACGGTAGTTAATTTGGCAAGGATAGATTAAAGAAATAGAAGGAAAGAAAAGCAAGAAAAGAAAAGGAAAGGAAATCGAAGGTCAAGGCAAGGCACGCTTGCAGCAATTTTTGGGGACGGATATTTGATTACGCTATGTAACTGGCCGAGTCGCGACTAGATCAACTGCAGTTTCGGGAAAAAGTGCGTTTCGGCAAAACCCGGCGTAGACCCACTGGGAATTTCAGCAATGTGGTCCGTTTGTTGATTAAAAAAGTTGATTATAGAATCCCAAGGTTAAATAAAGGCACGCTAGCAGAGATTCTTGGGGATCTTGTCGCCTATGTCTGGCGACTTTTATAAACACAGAAAGCGGATCCTAAATCAAGGTAGTTTCGGTATACCTGGTGCTCGGTGCTGTACAAGTCGCATCGTTTCGTCGCCCGGGAAAAGCCAGTTTTTGCCGAGCATTTTGGCCGGGTTTTTAAAGGGGTGGTAACAGAGTGCAGAATCTTGATGGTAGGAGGTACAGCAGGCAATACAGTTGGCCGTCAGGGTTAGAAAAATTTAACGTTGCAAAAATTCTGTTTCCGAATATACGGTCGTCTGTGATATCACAAGGATCGTTATTAATCACAGGGTTTTTGCTGTTGTGATCCTTTTTTAGGTATTACTTTAAGGTACTTTAGATACCTAAAATAACTCGATTTTTTCGAATTTTTGATAGCTTGTGTCGTAGAATTGATATGTAGCAAGACAATAATAGTAGCACCCAGATCGCCGCCCACCAATAAGATGCTTTTTCCGTTCTTTTCTTTTCGATTGTTTCTTTTCAAAATAGCTCTTTACAATAATATATGACGTCAAATTTTTTAATTTTAGTAGATTAATTTCTTAGACTTTTTAGAATATATTTTATAGCCAGAAAATCAATGTTTCTCGTATCTCGGTGGCGTCAGAACGCCACAAAATTATATACAGCGAGGTGCGGCTAATTACTCGAGGGTCCCCACGACGAATTAGAAGAACCGGGCAAAATCGTGTGTGTCCGCCTCGATTTTTTTGCGTGGAATAACTTTAATGGAACTGTGTATTGGTCGTAATCGTAGCGGCGAAATATTTAGGGGTTAATTCGAAATTCAGACAAATTCCACGTTTCTTTTCGTTCTGGCGTTTTCAATGTTTCAAAAAAATAGTAAAAAGCGGAAGTGGGAAAGTTCAGATTATGGGAACCAGCAATCCTACCTTATATAATTTTGGAGTGTATCTCTGTGTGTGTGTGTGGATGTCACTTTCGAGGCCCGATTTGAGGGCATTCCCGTGTCGAAAACAGCCCAATTCTTCGTCACTCGGGGGAATCGACCCTCCTCTTTCCGATGGCGTTTTCAGAATTGCGATAAAATACAAGTTTACAAAGTTAAAGCAGGTTTTACTCATTTTTGGGGGTAATTTGCATAATGCGAAAAAATAGAAATTTCCTCATTCTTCCCAGTTGCACGCGTGTGTGTGGTCGGTAGGGAGAGGAGGGTCCGAAGGACCCGAGCTAAGGAAAAGTCAAATTGTTCGTGCAAAAGTCGCATTCCAGCGCCCAAGGCCCGCGAAGCGGGTTTTGGGCGCTGGTAAATTAATGAATTAGCAGTAGAGCTCCAATTAAAAAATTCGATTTTTTCGATTCGATTCAATTTTTCGTATGTTTCAACTCTCCTTCAAAATCGTGATTGAATGAGGATTCTTGGGAGTTACGGTTCAGCAATTTGGTTTTTCGTATATTTCAACTTTTATTAACGATCATAAAATCCTGGTACGCGGAATTTTTGGTCGGAGAGTCGATGCAAATATTAGAAAGTAGTAATAAAAGTATTAAATAGTAGTAGTAGTATCCGAATAGGTATATTTAAGCAATAGCCAATGTCAGATGCAGGTTTCCCGGGGATTCAGTGGGCCATATGATTTGGCGTTTTATTGCGGGAGTGGGCCTGGGCCTGGTGGGGCTATTAAGGTTTTTTTGCGGAATGCGCTTTGGGAGGTGAGAGAGGGAGAGAGAGAGAGAGAGCGAGAGAGAGAGAGAAACAGAGACAGAGAACACTGCAAAATCGTTGTGATGAGCATGAGGGGTGGAGGATCAGCTTTCGCGTCTCTTTAACTCGACGGAAAGAGGGGCAAAACGCCGAAAAACTGGCAGGCGCCAGTGGAAAAGTTTGAGTGCCGCCCTGATGGATCGCCCCGGGATTTACACCCAAAATAAACAAGTGCCCAGGAAAACAAATTTTTTAATAAAAAATGTGTTTTTAAGTAATTCTAAAATTAAGAAAAAAATTTTGTTGTTAATCTTTCTAGGGGTCGACCGTTAATTATTATTTGTAAAGAGTAAATACTTCACATAAATAAATCTTAAAAACGGTAGTAAATTTACTAAACAAAGGTTAGGACAGTGAAGCGGTAAGAGCCCGAATAGAAAAATTAGCCTTTCCCCTTGATAACGCAAAAGAACCCATGAATTTTATCATCACCCCAAAAAATCTTGAAAATTCAGATCTTAAGTTTCGTTGTTTGCTAGGTCTACAATTTTTGTGCCGAACAATGGTGTTGGGTCGATGATTCCGACTTCAAATAGCCTTAAAATTCTATTTTTGTTTGAAAAATCACGTAAAATATCGAAACATCATTGAAGATTTTTCGTGTGAAGCTAGAAATTTTTCGTTATGGCGCTATATTATAAAATCTCGGAATATGCAATAAGTAAGCTTTAATAAAACTTATTTTTTCAATTTTTGATTGATTCCGGTTTGCTCAATCGCTCATTCTCAAACTCCAGATAAGTGCAAGCTAGTGTTATTTTGCAAACGCATTTTCTTAACCATCAAAAACATACTAACGTGAATCAGATGATGGTGGTGTATGTTTGTTGTTTGGGGGTGGCATTTGACGTTTGGGGGGAATGTCGTAGTGGTAGAAAGAGAGAGAGAGAGAGAGAGGGAGCGAGAGACGAGAGAGAGTGACGGATGTGGGGTGCTTCTTCTTCTTCTTGCTTCTAAATTCGGCGCTTCGATTCCTTGGGGCCCCTGATGGCAGTTAGCGCCACGCTCTGGCCCCCTGCCTAGCCGGAAACGCCGATAAAGGCAAAGCGAAACGGGTGGGAATTTGTTTAAAAAGCAGCCTACCTCATTTTTTTAGATTTAAAAAATATGTTCTAGAAAATTCTGAGATCGCTGCACTTTTCGAGTTATTAATAGGCGAAGTCGAGCTTCTGATTCTCAAAGAAACTCTGCCGGCTTGGGCGTGAAAATACCAAAAACAGATTTTTATTACAAATCCAATAGTATTATAATGAGAAACCCCTCAAAATGCGTGATCATAAAAATTTAAAGTTTTTTGATCGCAATCGACACATCAAAAATCTATATCGTTTAGTATTATTCGGCAGCAGGCACGAAATCAAATATAAAAAAAATGCCTTCCCAGTCACTTTAAATGGACTGGACCGGCTAGAAAATGTGGCAAAGGAAGCCAGCTTCATAAAAAGAAACCAGTTCTCTTCATTATAGCGAAAATCACTTCGTCGAAATATCCCCTCCACGAAACATTAAAATTTCCAAACACGAAGAAAATTGAAATGCCAGCGTTTTGAAACCGAAAAAGTCAATTTCGACACAATGATTTTCGACAAACTTGATAAAATGAATTTAGGCAAAATGCAAAATTATTTTCGGTAAAAAATTTCGGTCAAATGCATTTCGGCATTTTCGTTTTTGACAAAATCAATTTCGTCATTGAAATCTTTTTCCAGACAAAAAAAAAACCCGAAAAATCGTGACAACCACTCTGAAACCCGGGCCGTAATTTGGAATGTGGAGCGATGGCGGGGCGTTGTCGGGGAGTTCGAAAATAGTGTGTGGGGAAGGGGGGCACTTGGCCGAGCTTGTGCTCCATCCTCCACTATGCTCATTTGGATGGCCGGACGGATGAAAAGGATGGAAATGGAAGAGGAGGAGAAGAAGAAGCGGAAGAGAAGACGAAGAAGTGGCCTCGGGGAGGATGGGACTCTGGAAGGACCTTAACAAAAGATGGGGGAGAAGCCGCAAATACGAAAATATACCACCACCAAGCACGCACGCCAGATTCCGGCCGATTAAAGGGACTTGGAAGTCTCTTATGTATATCGTATCGTAATCGGTTCTTTCGCATTATCGGGCGGGGGGAAAAATTTTTTTATAAGCCTGTCTGCCTTCTCCTCTTCCTCAACAATCTCTGCTAGCCTGCCCTCTCCTCTTCCTCAACAATCTCTGCTAGCCTGCCCTCTCCTCTTCCTCAACAATCTCTGCTAGCCTGCCCTCTCCTCTTCCTCAACAATCTCTGCTAGCCTGCCCTTTCCTCTTCCTCAACAATCTCTGCTAGCCTGCCCTCTCCTCTTCCTCAACAATCTCTGCTAGCCTGCCCTCTCCTCTTCCTCAACAATCTCTGCTGGCCTGCCCTCTCCTCTTCCTCAACAATCTCTGCTAGCCTGCCCTCTCATCTTCCTCAACAAGCTCTGCTAGCCTGCCCTCTCATCTTCCTCAACAATCTCTGCTAGCCTGCCCTCTCCTCTTCCTCAACAATTTCTGCTAGCCTGCCCTCTCCTCTTCCTCAACAATCTCTGCTAGCCTGCCCTCTCCTCTTCCTCAACTATCTCTGCTAGCCTGCCCTCTCCTCTTCCTCAACAATCTCTGCTAGCCTGCCCTCTCCTCTTCCTCAACAATCTCTGCTAGCCTGCCCCTCTCCCTCTTCCTCAACAATCTCTGCTAGCCTGCCCTCTCCTCTTCCTCAACAATCTCTGCTAGCCTGCCCTCTCCTCTTCCTCAACAATCTCTGCTAGCCTGCCCTCTCCTCTTCCTCAACAATCTCTGCTAGCCTGCCCTCTCCTCTTCCTCAACAATCTCTGCTGGCCTGCCCTCTCCTCTTCCTCAACAATCTCTGCTAGCCTGCCCTCTCCTCTTCCTCAACAAGCTCTGCTAGCCTGCCCTCTCCTCTTCCTCAACAATCTCTGCTAGCCTGCCCTCTCCTCTTCCTCAACAATCTCTGCTAGCCTGCCCTCTCCCTCTTCCTCAACAATCTCTGCTAGCCTGCCCTCTCCTCTTCCTCAACAATCTCTGCTAGCCTGCCCTCTCCTCTTCCTCAACAATTTCTGCTAGCCTGCCCTCTCCTCTTCCTCAACAATCTCTGCTAGCCTGCCCTCTCCTCTTCCTCAACTATCTCTGCTAGCCTGCCCTCTCCTCTTCCTCAACAATCTCTGCTAGCCTGCCCTCTCCTCTTCCCTCAACAATCTCTGCTAGCCTGCCCTCTCCTCTTCCTCAACAATCTCTGCTAGCCTGCCCTCTCCTCTTCCTCAACAATCTCTGCTAGCCTGCCCTCTCCTCTTCCTCAACAATTTCTGCTAGCCTGCCCTCTCCTCTTCCTCAACAATCTCTGCTAGCCTGCCCTCTCCTCTTCCTCAACAATTTCTGCTAGCCTGCCCTCTCCTCTTCCTCAACAATCTCTGCTAGCCTGCCCTTCTCCTCTTCCTCAACTATCTCTGCTAGCCTGCCCTCTCCTCTTCCTCAACAATCTCTGCTAGCCTGCCCTCTCCCTCTTCCCTCAACAATCTCTGCTAGCCTGCCCCTCTCCTCTTCCTCAACAATTTCTGCTAGCCTGCCCTCTCCTCTTCCTCAACAATCTCTGCTAGCCTGCCCTCTCCTCTTCCTCAACAATTTCTGCTAGCCTGCCCTCTCCTCTTCCTCAACAATCTCTGCTAGCCTGCCCTCTCATCTTCCTCAACAAGCTCTGCTAGCCTGCCCTCTCATCTTCCTCAACAATCTCTGCTAGCCTGCCCTCTCCTCTTCCTCAACAATTTCTGCTAGCCTGCCCTCTCCTCTTCCTCAACAATCTCTGCTAGCCTGCCCTCTCCTCTTCCTCAACTATCTCTGCTAGCCTGCCCTCTCCTCTTCCTCAACAATCTCTGCTAGCCTGCCCTCTCCTCTTCCTCAACAATCTCTGCTAGCCTGCCCTCTCCTCTTCCTCAACAATCTCTGCTAGCCTGCCCTCTCATCTTCCTCAACAAGCTCTGCTAGCCTGCCCTCTCCTCTTCCTCAACAATCTCTGCTAGCCTGCCCCTCTCCTCTTCCTCAACAATCTCTGCTAGCCTGCCCTCTCCTCTTCCTCAACAATCTCTGCTAGCCTGCCCTCTCCTCTTCCTCAACAATCTCTGCTAGCCTGCCCTCTCCTCTTCCTCAACAATCTCTGCTAGCCTGCCCTCTCATCTTCCTCAACAAGCTCTGCTAGCCTGCCCTCTCCTCTTCCTCAACAATCTCTGCTAGCCTGCCCTCTCCTCTTCCTCAACAATCTCTGCTAGCCTGCCCTCTCCTCTTCCTCAACAATCTCTGCTGGCCTGCCCTCTCCTCTTCCTCAACAATCTCTGCTAGCCTGCCCTCTCATCTTCCTCAACAAGCTCTGCTAGCCTGCCCTCTCATCTTCCTCAACAATCTCTGCTAGCCTGCCCTCTCCACTTCCTCAACAATCTCTGCTAGCCTGCCCTCTCCTCTTCCTCAACAATCTCTGCTAGCTTGCCCTCTCCTCTTCCTCAACTATCTCTGCTAGCCTGCCATTTTTAATGCTATTCAGAGTTTTTCGAGAAGACGTTATTGTACTATCAAAAAAATGGACGAATTGCGATTAACCCAAAGCCTCCCATATGACATACGCCCTCTCTTAAAACATCGGATTTTATGGAAAATTAGGGTGAGAAAGAGGTAGAGAGACCAATGCACAAAAAGGTGTCTATTCTTGCCACCTTCCAACTCTCCGTGGGCTGTTTCCACTTCTTCGCCTTCGCCGTATCGTCTTTTCTAAAGCCCTCCCCCCATTCCTCCATCCCAACAAAAATACGATGGCCCCTAGGGGCCCTAAGGGCCCGCCACTCTCGCCGACATCGACAAAAAAAGCAGCGACAAAAAAAATATGTTTCGGCCTGATGCATTTTCGCGCTGGTGGTTCGGGTGGGAATCCTATCCTTGCTAACTCGGCATCAACGGTGGGAGAAAGAGAGATGAAGATGAAGGGCCGATGGGAGGACACTTGATAATTTTAATTTTGAAATGGAAAGGAGATTTGTAAAGAATTTTAAGCATTTTGTTTATTAAGACCGTACAATAATTACGCGTTATATGTTGTGATACGAAACATGTATCCCAAGAGGATCCGTTTCGGCAAAAAATCGATGGAATAACGTGAGAGGAAAATACGTCATACCAACCAACAAATGTTTCGCCTTGCAGTCTTTTTCAGGCGGGGATTCACGTCGGAATTCATAGTCTCAAATAGGGCCATCAGCCAATTGAAGGATGTCTTGAAAATTTTTAATTTTAAAATCTGAAGATCTTTAAATAAGCTTATTTGTTTATTAAATTTGTATAGAATTACGCGGTATATCTTGTATTTCGAAGCGTGTATTTAAGAAAATTAAAAAATTTTGGGAAAACCTTTGCGACAAAAATACTGGGTCGTCGTTGGGGCAAATGCAGAAATTCGAAGCCGAAAAAAATATGTTTTGCTCTGGTGGATTTTCGGGGTGGGGGTTCGGGTGGGAATTCACAATAGGCACATCTAATAATTTTTCGTTTTGAAAAAGAATGGGGATATGGAAATATAAATTTTTTTTTAATTTATTAAAATACGATAGAATACGACAGATTTATTCAAACCGTACAATAATTACGCGGTATATTGTACTCTTCGAAACATGTATTTAGAGGATAAACTATAGCAAAAAAATGTCGCAAGAAAATCATTGCCGCTAGCGTGTTTTCAAAAAATTACTAGATCAGGTAATTTTTCATGAGAACCACAGAACTAAAAACGAATTGGAATTAAAACCATTAAATTAAAACAAACTAAAAATATTAATTTTTTTGCGCGATTTCGTTAAAAACCGTGGTTTCCCCGAAAAACTAACTATCTAACTTGTTATTTTCGACCTAAAAATTAGGTTTTTCTAGAATTTTTGGCCAAAGTCTTTGTTAGAAATCAATTAGTATACGCCGGAAATCGGGAAGAGATGAACCCTGGTATGAAAAAACAAATAAAAATAAAAATAAAAACTTGAACCAAGCTTCTTCGCCCCAAAAAAACATAAAAAAACGTAAAACTTCCAACGGAACGCCCGTTTTGCGGGCCGGAAAAGTGGTTGGGCGGGGAGAGGTGGGGCGAAAAGCTGGGGGGAGTGTGTTGAGCCTTTTGGGCCGACTATCCATCCATCGTCATTAATTTCGTATCGGACTGGTGGGGAAGGGGGGGAGGGGCTGTTGTAAACGATTGGAATCCATCCATCCCAGTACTTTGCACACCCGAAAACAACTAACAAAAACAAATAGGAGTCGCTGTCCCGCTCTCTCTCACTCTATCTCTCTTTCTCTCGCTCTATCTCTACCTCTCTCTCCATCTCTCTCTCTCTCTCTCTCTCTCTCACTCTATCTCTCTTTCTTTCTCTTCTTCAAAATCAGTCAATCTCTTCAAACTTCTTTTTTTACCCGATAGTACCGCGTCTCTAAAATACTGGTATAATCACTTTGTAGAAAAATAAAGTCTTTCTTATAGAAATTATATCGCAATAACGCTTAAATTTGTAGCGAAAAATGGCGGAGGTCTTCGAGCAGTTCATCATGGGCTGTTGATTTTTCGGCACGACCGCGGTTTTCATCTCGCATGTACCATTTCTGAAAAAATCTGAGAAAATGTTGCTTGACATCATGGGATTTTGTAAAGCAGTAAAACGATAATGCTCATGGTCCCGCCTTTTTCGATACTACAATATGACTTTTCGAAAAAAGCTCTAAATATCGCTAAAAATCGCAGGCGAGCCGAGATTTTTGAGGAAGAGGAGAGGGCAGGCTAGCAGAGATTGTTGAGGAAGAGGAGAGGGCAGGCTAGCAGAGATTGTTGAGGAAGAGGAGAGGGCAGGCTAGCAGAGATTGTTGAGAAAGAGGAGAGGGCAGGCTAGCAGAGATTGTTGAGAAAGAGGAGAGGGCAAGCTAGCAGAGATTTTTGAGAAAGAGGAGAGGGCAGGCTAGCAGAGATTGTTGAGGAAGAGGAGAGGGCAGGCTAGCAGAGATTGTTGAGGAAGAGGAGAGGGCAAGCTAGCAGAGATTTTTGAGAAAGAGGAGAGGGCAGGCTAGCAGAGATTGTTGAGGAAGAGGAGAGGGCAGGCTAGCAGAGATTGTTGAGAAAGAGGAGAGGGCAAGCTAGCAGAGATTGTTGAGAAAGAGGAGAGGGCAGGCTAGCAGAGATTGTTGAGGAAGAGGAGAGGGCAGGCTAGCAGAGATTGTTGAGAAAGAGGAGAGGGCAAGCTAGCAGAGATTGTTGAGAAAGAGGAGAGGGCAGGCTAGCAGAGATTGTTGAGGAAGAGGAGAGGGCAGGCTAGCAGAGATTGTTGAGAAAGAGGAGAGGGCAGGCTAGCAGAGATTCTTTATGGAAATTCCGCAAATCCTACCGCTCTAGCTTCAATATATGGGTAATTCAAACATTGAATTGGCAGTGGCCGATCCATTGGATTCGGCTGTAGCATCGCCGTTAGAAGCTCCACGAATTTTTTCGCTCAAAAATATATTGATGGTTTTTTTGATTAAAAATTAATAGCTTAGTTGAGGAAAAAATGTTACGTGTTGATATGCCTTGGGGGCAAGGTGCTATTCGGTTAGCGGCGGTAGTTAGTCGTTTCCCCAGATTTCCAGATCGTTTTTCGTAAGCGATAAGTTGTTTAAATCTGAAATACGGGAATTATTGTTCGTTCTTTCTCTGGCTCTCTCTCACACTCTCGCTCTCTTTGTCTCTCTCTCTTTTGCTCTGTCTCACTCTCTCTCGCTCTCTGTCATGCTCTCGATCTCTCCACCTCTGTCTCTCTGTTTCCTTCTCTCTCTCTCTCTCTCTCTCTCTCTCTCTCACCCGTGACAGTATTCATTCAGCCCCATCACGTCCAAAATCTTGTTCACCATCAGACTCGAGCGCTTCTCTACTTCTGTCCTATTGTCATCGGCCTGGATTCAAATATTAACATCAATTTCAACTAAATTGAGGGCCTGCTAACAGGAATTTTTTTAGGAACTACCTACCGTAAACTCGAACAACGGCACCCCAGTAAATTCCAACACCGTCAGCGCAACCGCCCAAATGTCGACTAAAGCAATTGCATGAATAACTGGCCACGACCAGTCCAAATATACCTGTTTATTTAAAAAAGGACACAGAATTTCAACCCACTTAAAAGTATGCATTAGTCGGAATAAATAATAGCTGATAACTGCGAGAAGCAACCTCCTACCAAACGAGCCCAAAAAGTACGCGGCTCACGGCCCAAAGATGAAACGTCATTTTTGAAAAATTCGGTTCCGTTTTTTACAAGGCCCGTCTGCTTATTGGGCTCTCCGCTTCAAAACGCAAAAACAGTTCCGCCCTACAACCGATGAAACATGTTCGGTAATCCGAATCAAGCAGCTTGTCGTGAACCTCCTGTCCACTCATGCTGTCCCTGTCCCTATAAACGCCCCCACCGGCACAATTGTAGCCGCCCTCATCGTGGAGGAGCACTTCTAGAGGTCGATTTGCCCATGGGGTAGTGACATGGGTTGTATGCCTGCCATTACTTGAGGTGTAGCTGAAACAGCAGGATTATTAGAGAAAGAGAGAGCTAGAGAGAGAGAGACAGAGAGAGAGAGAGAGAGAGAGAGAAATGAAGTCTATTATAAGTTTGCCTATAAAATCTATAAAAAAAAATAACTGAAAGGAGATGTTAGGCCGCATCTAGCCATTTGGCGATGATATAAAACTAGAGTAGTAGACGTTTCTTAACTTAACTAGAGTAAAACCATTACCCGCAAGACCCAAAATCGAGCAGCTTGATCACGAAGTTATGCTTATTGAGCCCGATGTTTTTCGGGTTGATGTCCTAAAATCTAGAAATTATTATGCACGCGATGGATATTAAATTAAGGCAATCTCATAAACTCGCGGAGCATTTTTGCTTGAAACATTAATTACTACACAAATTTTTGGGCATCAGGTCAGTTGGGTTGGATCGAAAATCTGATGTATCACCAATTTAGGTCTTTTTGAATTCAGCGGTTTGATTTGATGTTTAAATTGTAGTACGGTACAAAATTAGCTTACCCTATGCATAATGCCCCTTTGCCGCAAATAATCTAACGCCATCAACAGCTGAACGAGCAGGCATACGGTATGATCCGAGGGGCGAAGTCCTCCTTTTCCGCCGAGCAGCCTGAAATCTCATTTTGTAATGAATATGTCCAAATATAATAAATATTTAATAAAATCATGTCTAAAAGAATACGTAATCTTAATTACTGCAATTGCAAATTTCATGGTCATTTTTTGAATTTTTGCGGCACTTTTTAAACGTACATTATTTTGTCGTGCCGCAACATCATTAAATATTCTAGCTGAAACGCAGCCAATAATTATTTTGAAACATTTTTTAGTAAGAGGCAAGATGTTTCAATTCATTTTTCAATTGTTTTGAACACCGTCTCTCTCTATCCCTCTCTCTCTCTCTCTATCTCACTCGCTTTTCAAAAAAATCATTATGGCCGTGGCGGCCAATATATGGTAGGCGTAAGGATTGGTTTGCCAAATAAACTTCGGGTTTTCCTTTTATTTTACTTTTCCCAGTCATAGAGACGCAGGCTTCATCTGGCCCGCGACAGAGTTGCAGCATTTCTATTTAGAGGGTGTCCCAAAAAAATTCTTCCATCCGATCGGGACCAAATTTCTACCCATAAAAACTATGTGCAGCCCAATTTTCTAAGCGAAATATTGTAAAACAAAAGCTATAGCGAAATTATGCCTTAGTTTGACGATTTCGCTAGGATTTCGATGAATTTGTACCTCGAAATGTTTAGCAAAAATGAAGATCGCACTTTTTTCCACCCAGAGACATTTTTTGATTTACAAAAATTACGTCTAAAGTCGCATTTTTAATCACTTTTTATTATCAAAATTGACAGAACCGACCCGAAAATGACCATTTTTTAGGGAAAATTACTGAAAATGATCATGCTAATTGCGAATACACAGCTAAAACTGAGCACCAGCGCTTCTCAAAAATCGGTGTTTTAGCAATAATTTTTTGTTTTACAATATTTTGCTTAGAAAATTCGGCTGCACATAGCATTTATTGGTCCCCACCACTGGTAAAAATTTGATCCCGATCGGATAGAAGACGGCCAAATGCCGATGGGGGTTTTTTTTGGGGACACCCTGTATATGTCCTTCTTGGCCGTCTCGCATTCAGGTGTTTCAGAGGTATAATGATTTTAGATGCTTCAAAAATGAATTAATCTACGTTGACACGGTGACACCACATAAAAACTTGCTCAATATATTTGGCCAGCGACACGTCCATCCTCTCAGCCACCAGCCATACGGTATCGATCGTGCCCTTTCCCTCCGAATTCGTTCCCGGCTCCCAGAATGTCGCCAGCAACGGCACTACCTGAGTGTCGGGATTTTTCTATCGGTATGCCGATATTCCATTTGGCAACAGTTTACTTTACCCCCAGCCGGAACGTTGAAACATTTTTTAAGGTCATCCATCGGCAGCCCTAGGTCCCAGCTACTATCCCCTGGTCGGGAATTGCGAAAAATAAATATTAAATTTTATACAATTAAAATAGAGTTTGAGCGGTTGATCGAATTTTGCTTGTTTTTGCCATAACTATTTCATTTTACATTATTTTGGGTTGGAATTAAAATCCGTAGTATATTTTTTGACGCTGTATCGAATAGCGTTAAAGAAATTTTGTAAAAATGTGGAAAATGTCGAAAACTAGCCTTGCACCGCTTGTTGCCATAGGGAAATCCCATTTAAATCTTGTTTTTGCTGTAACTATTTTATATTACATTATTTTAGGCTGAAATTGAAACTCTTAGTATATTTTTGATGCTCTATCGAATAGTGTATCGAAAATGTCGATAAAAGCAAAAATATTAAAAACTAGCTGTTTAACCCCATTTTTAGAGGTTATTTTTGTTTTTACTATAACTATTTTATATTACAGTATTTTGAGCTGCCATAAAAACTCTTAGTATATTTTTTGATGCCCTATTCCCTGAATGGCGTATCGAAAATGTCAAAAATCGCAAAAAAATATTGAAAACTTGGGACCTTCGGGCTGGGGGGGGGGGAGGGGGTAAAGTAAACCGTAGCCAAACCGTATTTAATGCTGTGCTTCTTTATAGATGATTAGATACTCCTTCTAACTTACATTTTGGTGCACTAGAAATTTCATGTTTCGGATCTCGCGGCGCAAAAGGCGTAGCTGATCGGCCGTCGTATTTTGGTTGATGGCATAGCTGGGAAAAAAACATGTTTCCAATAATTCATTAGATCCAACTTTATAATTTAGAATTAATAAAACTTGAACTGTTTGTTATATATTTGTTTTTTAATCACATTTTTGGAATCGCTGTATTTCTTCATGAATGATGCGCTATTTTTATACAGTGTTTTCATCTCAAAATTTATATTGTATTTTCTGCAGAATTGAAAACAATAGTCGCGTTGATATTAATTTGTGTAAAGCTTATTTTTCTTGGTTTTGGTGATAGGTATCTGGCGCGCCGCTACTATTGATTTTTTCTCTAATCCTAGATTGATAAACTTTTAAACCTCATCAAGTCCATAACACAAAATGATCACCTACCGTTTTGCCACCACCTTCCGGTCGGGTTGCCCGGCTTTTTTCAGGACGGCCGCCCTGAAAAGGTAGCCGATATGCCCTAATTTTCTATGACTATAATTATTTAATCTTAGAAGCTAGATTATTCTAAAAAGTTAATTTAATTTTGTATAAACTAACACTACGGCATCCCCTTGCGCCCCGGCTCCCACCGTATGAAAATGTTCGGCTGAAGTTTCGGCTGGCCGAAATGTTCGATCGTTCTGAAAAGTTTTACCGGATTCTAATTAGCTCGTTTATATTTATTGCTTTTACTTTTTTATATAACCGACATTTAAAATTAAGCTATTATGCACCTTTTCTGAAAAAATTTTTTGAAAGTTTTTTTCTGTCAAAAATGTACTGCAGCAACCTTTTTTTTCAAAAATTACTATTCAAAAATTTGAAACATTTTTTGTCGAAAAACGAATTCAACAATCAATTGAACGCCATTGCTTACCGTGTCCGCAGCCAGAAAACCCGGCAATTTTGCGTGGAATGGGCGTTGGTTTTCGAGCTTCTTTCCCGGGAAAATATCGACAACCCGGGTTGAGGTCGCGCTTATTGGATCCATCCCTAGTATTTCGAGAAATGGCGCAAGCCAAAAAAACAATTAAACAACTCAAAAACGAACATTTTGCTAAAAATTGTAATTTCTGCTTCAATAAATAAAAAAATGCAAGTTTCATTTTAAAAGGCCAACGTTTGGCCCGATATTTCCTTAATGAAAGGCGCGTTGCAGTTGAAAATTCAGGAAAAAAATAAAGTTTTCGGTAAGTTTCTTGTCTAAAAGGCTAAATTAAATAGCTCAAAGACATCGATAGTTTAATGATTATTAAATTGGTATTAAAGACTTTACAAAATTGCTTTCAAAGCCATAAAAACCTTAAAAAACGAATAAACGTAGCTGGAATGCCCTGAAACGCGAGGTTCCATTTTTCTTGCGGCAGAGAATCGCCGGCCACCAAGGGGGGGGGGGGGGGGGGGCAAAGGGCACGTTACCAGATATCGATTTCTTTTGAACACTTTCCCGCTTTATGGGGCAGGAAAACCCCCTAGAAAAATATAAATCTACGCCTGGAAGTCTACGTCATTAAATTGCATTGATGCTAAAAATGGCTTTTTTAAATCCCTTTTAAAAATAATTAAAATAATTTCAAATTAATAAATTGTTAATATTTTTGTATTTATCGGGTACATAAAAATTATCTGAAGTGACATTTCAAGCTCAAGAAAATCAAACTGATATATAGAATAGGAATGATAAAAATCTTTTGTATAGAAATGTTTCGTCGGTTTCTGGGACGCGGCGCTGGACAGAAGCAATAATTGTACGAAGAAGAACCGCGCTTCAAAAGTTTTGAACGTCAAACAAGGTGAAGGATTTTCCCAAAATTTCCTACAATATTTTTTCTAAAATTGCACTTAAACCTACAATTGAAATAGGGACTTTTAATAACATGTTTCTTTGAATTTTGAAATAAAATGCTTTGTTTTGGGGGGGTAGTCCTGCGTTGACGGTATTTACTCTTGCTTTGTCATGTGATGAGCATGAGCTAACCGGGAGAAGTTAGGCCGTTTCGAGTGACTCTCCTATGTTGATTCTTTATTTTTATTTTTAGTCTTTATTGCCGCACATTATATTTATGCCAATGATTTTTCGTTCAATTCTCGCAGCTACGGTCCTCGTTCGGGTAGGGCGTCTCGAGGCGCAGCGTCCCCACATCGTAGTAGTCTATAATAAACAAAACACAAAGCAATATCGAAACGGAGCCGAATTACCCACCAGATTCCGCAGCCTCCTTTTTCCGGACGATCCACCGCGGCGGGATGTCGATCCGCACCCGCTTTTGGCATGGCTGGAAAGGAATTCTTTAAGAATTAACATGTTACACAAATTTTCAAAGTGCCGAAGTAATTTTTACGATTCAATTCGGAGTTATTTGAGCTGTGCAACCAATTTTTCGAATTTGTAAATTAAAATGCCTTCCAATAATTACCCTAATGCCATCCTCGCAATCGTGGTACACGTACAACACGGGCTCGATGTCGGTCAGTTCGCGCGTCGTGCCGAATACCCGGAATTCACCGTCCTAAAAAGCGTATTTAGAGTTATTTTATTTGTTGTTTCATTTAAGCAGCTTTACTTGGTGTGTTTTAGTACTTTAATCGTTAGTTCTCTATTAATTTAGAATATTTTTGTACTTTTCGCGGACCTTATCCGTGTACCGATCGTCGAGCAAATCATCCGAATCGCCGGGGTCTAAAATAATTTTTCTGTATAGTTGAATATAAAAATTAAGTTGATTTCCCACTAACTCATTCCATTACCAATGCCTAAATTTGCGCTTTCTCATATCTGGTTAAAACATCTTTTTCCACAAGCTTTTGATTTTTCGTATTGCTAGGGCTAGAGAGAGCGAGAGAGAGAGAGAGAGAGAGACAGAGAGAGACAGAAAGAAAGCGAGTGCGCGAGAGAGATAACTAGATATATTTCATTAACAAGCATCACTTACTCCGATCGATATCATAAATCTTGACTCTTGTGTTCCTCAGCACTTTTTCATTACATAACAATCGGCCTTTTACGGCGATTCCTTGCAGCCGGAATGCGTCTACATTCAAAATTACAAATTGGCAAACTGCCAAAAATGCAATCTTCTTCGAATTGTGCATCTAAAAAGCGATAAATCGATAGATTAACGGAAAAAAATCCAAAAATGAGGTTGAGTGGTAACAATATGTTTCAAAAGTTTATGTGGTATATTAGTAAGGAAAGCTGTACTTTCATCTTCATCGGGACGAAATTTATTAGCATTTTATTTGACACGTAACTGAACACCTTTCTTTGAATTACTTTTTTTGAAAACTGTTGAATACGGCCGGCAAATTCATTCAACTGTTCAAAAATTTTCAAAACATTTTTTTGGCAAGCAAATCTTCAGCAAATAATCAGAGCCTTATATCAGTAAGATAGTTTTTCAATGCTATTCTTCCTTTTTTATGCCTGCAACTACAGGGTGGCTAGAAAGTATTTGCCGCAGGGAAATCTTCTTAAGAGATTCTCAGTGTCCGGCTTCGTTGCCATTTTTTAGGAAATATGTAGCGAAGAAACCACTTTTTTCGACTATCAAAAAGGCTAACACCCCAGACCTCAGATTTTTAAGATACGGTTCCTGAGAGGTGCATCCAAACATGAGCCTGCGCCGCACGTATTTTGCCTTTAGTGTTAATCTGTTCAGTTTTTGCTTGCAACCAATCAGAATAGCAGGTTGGGTTTTTGTTCATTGCAAGACCCTTTATCGGACGTAACAACCAGAAAAATTCTTTTTAGCCGTATCGAAAAGCTTTTCGCTATTTTCTTGAACGCCTAAAATGAGCGGAACAAGGTGTTTTTGGAGCACAAATACAAAATGTCTTAAATATCCACGTTTTCATGCACCAATTATTTTTGCTTTTGTGGACGCACTAAAACCAACAGCGTGGAGAGGAAAAGCTCATTGGATAGCCGTAACTAAATATATTGTGGGCACAAAAGAATAATAAGATGTACTTTTTTGCCGTTGGTTTCGAACAACCTTCAAATGCTTTAGGCCGGCGTTTTCAATTATTTTGGTCCTATTCAAAGTGTCAGCGTTGTAGGCTGATGCATTATCTATATTTTAATAGTAAATTTAGGGCAAGCTCTCGAGTTAATGATTTTTAAAATCCATTCTTGTGCGGCAACTGGTTGCATGCCACGAATCTCGGCGCACCCCACTAGCAAAATTTTGCTTTCACTTCAGTGATCTATCTAAGCCGTGTGGTGCCCCGAGCATAATTTTTTTAGATAGTTTGGATACTGGTTTCTACGATACAGCACCGGAACAGAATAAGATATCCCCTAAGAAATTTTTCGAGGGCTTCGAAGGTGCCGAAACCAATACAAAAAGCGAGGTTTTATGTATTTAACTCCAATTAAAATTATACGGACAAGGAGCTGCGTGTTTCTATATATCAATCGATAGAGCAAAAAATTCTCTACCGAATGCACCCCCCAAATGCATCTGTCGCAGAAATCTTAGCAGATTAAAACCAGGGCGACAGCGCGGCAAATACTTTCTAGCCACCCTGTACACTTGAAAAAATACACGCAAATAGTAAAGAGAATTTTTGATAAAAACAAAAAAAATGTTTTGAAAAAATAGTATATGGATTTTTGATAAATTCAGTTAATGGCTTCTTTAACAACAGCAAAAATCTATTGAATTTGGTATTGCAAAAAAAAATAATTTTTAGGGCATAATTTGACGGAAAAGCCAAATCATACCTGAATGACCCGATAAATGGAAAATATTTTGACGTCTCCGGCCGGGTGCCAATTAGGATGCCCGTTATCAGCTGGCCGAAATCAATATTCAGGCTTCAGACAGAGAAAACATATTATTTTTGTTCCAATTGTGGTTCGTTTTCAAGGAAATTTAAAGCAAAAACTGAAGCATAAAATTTATTACGGAATTTAAGCTAGCGGTAACAAGTGTGTTTCTATTTTTTTAGCCGTGAATCTATGTGAAACATCTAAATTTGTTCAGTGTTTTTTCAGTGTTTATATTTTATTCAGACCCGAAAATAGCAAAATACCATCAAAAACTCAATAATTAAATTAGTAAATTTGGTCACAGCGTAAATAGGTGCTTCTCGCAACGCTTTCCAATATATCCGGCCCGACACAAGCATTTCGTGCGCCCATCACCCGTCTTTAGGCATTCCGCGTCGTTCTCGCAAAGTCCGTGGCAGGCATCTGAATTATTAAAGGAGCTCGGAAAGGCTAATCTTCGTTGAATAATTGTTTATTATTATAAAAATTATTATTCACTAGTTTCATTACTGAATTTAAAAAGGTACAGGTTACTTTTTCAAGCTCTGCAATTTATTTTTTCCATTGTAACTTTTATTTTAAATGTAACATGCCGTTTTACTTTTGTCCTATCTTAGTCCTTGTCTTTGATCGCTTTTTATATGTGTCCTTTTGAATTAATAAATATTACCCTCAACCGACTTGCTGAGGTCAAAGAACTATATCTTCGAACAGAACTAATTTTGATTGAATTTCACTGGTTTAGCGATTTGACGAAACAGCTTATTTTAAAAAGTGTCGCAGCGAGCCTTTTTAGGTAAGCAATTTACTTTTCGTTTTTAAAGACCGTTGGAAAGATGGCCGGGCGTCCCCAGGGGTGAGGGACCGACGGGGCGATGCCATGCACGCTTTCCATCGCGTAAGGGGCCCCAAAACCCCCAACTGGATTTCAAGAAAACGGGTTTATAGCCATAACTTTTTTGATCGACTATATTTTTGGCTGGAAACTTCCATAAAAATAGTTTATAGCCATCCCCACCGATGGTAAAAATTTGAGACTGATTGGATAGATGGCTGCCATGTTCTGAGCGGAAAGAGGTTTTTGGGGCGTTCTTTAGTTGAAAAATCGTCGGAAAGGGCATCAAACACTCCAGGAAATTCAGGGAGTTCTTTCCTTGCCCTTAGCAAGCTTTTCTGTAGGATTTTTCGTTGTTGCTATTTATAAATAGCTTTATTTTAAATTGTCGCCCAGTGGCGTGCACGAGTTCGGCCCTAGGATACTTGGGGCCCCTCCGCCGCCCTCACCCACTCGACCCCTTTGGTGTGGAGGTAGCGCGTTGGACTGCGGGGCGGACCATCCCTGGTTCGACCCCCGCCCGGCGCACACGCTCTTGCTTTTTGACCGTTCCCATCTTTCCAGAGGCCTTTAAAGTCAATCAGACTCAAAATAAACAATACCGTACCCGCGCAATTGAAACCATTTCCGATAAAACCCGGGCGACATTTGCAGGCATACCTGAACGGCATACATTTCATGAAATAAAGGCTACAACAAAAAAAAATTGCTAAACTCATGTTTTGAAACATAAAATTGGTTTATTGGTTTCTCAGGGCTATCATCCATTCAAAATTTCAAAAAATCGATAGCGATTCCTTGCCTGGCCCTTTAATAAAATTACCTGGCCGTCCCCTCCTCATCCGGCAAATCGATGCAAACAGCCAGCCAATGGCATTTATGCGCCCCCGAAACACATTGATTTGTCGACGAGCAATTCGACGCGGAGGTGGAACCTGATTTTTGAAAAGTTTTTAATGAGATTAAATTAATAGAAACCAGGGTTGAAAAGCCGCTTCGCGACTTTTCAACCCTGGCCTTTGCGCGGGGCTCTTTAAAAGTTGGGCTTTGAATAATTCGGGTCAGAGCTAGAGCGAACCCTAAAAATAGAAAAAGCAACCGGCCGCGAGCGCGACAAAAGCAAAATTGAGGGTCCTAGCGCCTCGCATGCAAATTCGTCTATTTCCATATGTTTTTAAAACGTTAAAATAAGGTATAAAACGAAATTTTAGTAAAAATCTGATAAGCGTACAGTAATCTACGCCCTCGACTACCCCGAACTACCTTATTTCTGGACCAAAAAATTCTTTCCTCTTCGAGTTATGGCTGGAACCCGGGTTTTTATGCAAAGTGTCTACACACACAGACACTATTTTTTTATATATAGTAGGATAAATATAAAGAAACATATAAACTTCCTAATTCCTAATCTCACCAGACCAAAGAAAAAAAATACTTTTTGAATGGGATTGATGATATTTCTTGATCGCCAAGGTAGTGTGTATTAACAGCCATTCTTGTCAGCCGTTGATACAATTTTTGAAACATTTTTTCGCTATTGGTTGAGCCGTAAGTAATTTTTTTTGTTATTTGCATTGCTTTATCATTTTTTAGCAACAGATTATTTAACATCTTAAAATTTAAATATTACCCCGTTACCTTTTTTATAAGTGGTTGTACCCTCTGGGCATTTTTTGCAGCTTCTGGCATCATCAATATCCGAATATTCGCCCAGCCCGCATTCCAGGCATTTTCCTGATTCCGTCTCGAGATATTGGCCCGATTTGCATATTTCTAAAGGTTAACTTTATGAAACAACTTTGAATTCGTAAACTTAAACGTATTAGCATATTTGCAAAATTACATTTAATGTATTTTAGCCGTAATTAACTAAAAAAAAACATAAAAACCACGTGCATTTCGGCGTATTGAAACTTGAAAATTCAATTTATCTTGAAAAAGGAAATTTCGATTAATTTAATCGAAAAAGCCAACAAGAAAAAAATCAATTGATAAATTTCTATTCTCCAAATCTCGTTACATAGTTGAAACTCATTTTTCACATTTCAAAAATTTTTTGGTGGTAGTAATAAATTAAATCCGTATCTTAATTGAATTCAAATTAATTGACTAAAATCCGATCAATTCAGAAAAACCCAGGTTTAAGTGATCCTACCAACGCGGCAGTCCTGGAGTACGGTAGCGCCGGAGTGTAGCGTAGTGGTGCCCCTCGGGCAATGCATGCACATCGGCTCGGCTGGCGACTGAATTTGGATAATTCGAAGCTTATTGGTTGAAATAGAGTAAGTTCGACACTTTGAAGAGAGTGGAATGTAAGGAAATAACGATTTCCCGTTTCAAACTAAAAATTTCTCAAAAACCAAAAAAAGGGGGTTTTTTTTGGAAAAATAGGTTTCGCCGCAAAACCGAGTAAAAAAATTAATATGGGCTACAATGCTGCACCCCAAAAAGTTCCGAAGCCAGCTTGGAGCGCGCCTAGGATTGGAAGGGCGTCCAAAGGCCAATTTAAAGGGGCTCGGAAGTGAAGTGTTCGTGCATGAGAGGATTGAACCTACTGGACAAAAACGAAAGAGTCACTGCCGAAAAGTACCAGAAAAATGAGTTCATCGCAAAAATACGTACAGTATTTGAGTATAAACGAAATATTCTCGGGGCGAAAACGACTTGAGTGCGTGACGATTCCATGTCGTAATGCCCTGTAAGGCACCCAATCTCCCGAACTCGGTGATCCTCTGCTCAAATTGCATGATTAGAAAGGTCTAGAATACTCAAAATTCGCTGAGGATCCCAGAAATAGCGTCAGAATTTTGAAATTCAAGCGTTTTCACGGACAAATCGAGGTCGCGTTGCGGCCGCGTCTGACTATTTACCAGGAATCAACGCAGGGGGCCCTGGGCAAGATTTCGGAGCCCCTCGAAGTGCCCGAGCAGGCCTGCGCGGGGGATACTGTCGATGGCGCGCGTTATAGGCGGCAAAGGGCGCAAAAGCACGTAAATAGCTACGAAACTCACGATAAAATTTGTTCGGTAGAAAACCTTTGAGATTAGGAATTAAGCAGTATATCAAGATTAAAAGCAGTAAAAAGATATTGATAAACCCTACCTTAAATGAGCCAATCGGGCATTTTCGGCAATTTTGGTCCTCGCCTCGCTCCGAACCGGGCGGGCAGTTTTCTGAAACACCAAAGTGAAACATTAATTTTCGTCCGCTCTCGAAAAATGCGTTTAAAAAAGTTCAGGTATATTTTTTAGCTTTTTAAAATGCTTTAATTAATCTTAGCGATGTAAAAAACGCCTACCCATGCAATGGTCAATCGAAGTCGAATTTTTATACAGCGGTACGTAGCCTTCGGGGCAGGGCTGGCACGAATCAGAGCCTTAAGGTATGATCTTGAAAAATACTTATTTTTTCATAAGAATTTTGATTTTACTAACCATTTAATAGCCTAGTTAATTTAAAATGGTTCAGCTAACCTTTTAGTTTTTATTAAAATTGGTTAAAGTCCTTAAAAATTTAGTTAAAATTAAAGCTATATAATACCTTCCCCATTTTGATACCCTTTCAGCCCGCACATTTCGCAAATCCGCGCCTCCGCATCGTAGAAATGGCCCTTCGGACAGCGCGCTGAAAAAATACGAAAAATTGTGTTTCAAACATTCTTTAAAATTTAAATTTTTTTGGCGTTGTTAATTGGTGATTTCGATACTGATGAATTGGCTAAACTCACGTATACAATCCTTTTCGAGGCCGGTCCCCTCTCGGGCTGTCGTCAAATGGACCGGGCATCTGGAATTTAAATTAAACTGGTTTTATTTAAGTTATATTAATAAACTTTATAAAAAGGATGCTTCGTAAACGAATCGGTGTACACAGAGCAGAATCTAATATGAATATTTCATTTTACTTATGGAAAAGCCAAAACACATTTTTCATACGTGAAACTTCAAAATTTTTTGTTGAGATTTTGCATCTAATTCGTCCTCTTTTCCAGATCGCGACAAAACTTCGGATCAAAAATCAAGAAGTTTAATTTTCGATTTAATTTCTTTTCCTTAGAGTTCGTAAACGAATCGGTGTACACAGAGCAGAATCTAAGCATCTAATTCGTCCTCTTTTCCAGATCGCGACAAAACTTCGGATCAAAAATCAAGAAGTTTAATTTTCGATTTAATTTCTTTTCCTTAGAGTTAAAAATTTCAAATTTCAAAACAATAAAGAAGTTTAAATTAAGAACCCAAATCACCCAAATTTACCAACTTTTTACATCCGTCCTGCCCTGCTCCATCCTGATACTCGCCCCTCTGGCATTTCGTGCATACGGTAGCGCCGTCAGCTTGGAAAGTCCCCGCGGGGCAGCGCTCTAAAATTTATGTAAAATTTAATTTACTGATAAATATGGAAAAGGTTAAAAATAACTTTAACTGATTGAAATGATATGTTGAGAATGAATAGGTGAAGTTTACCACTGCCCGTTAATTTCTCGAAACATTTTTTCGCGCCTTGAGACGAAAAAATTTGATTGTCCTTGTAAACAGGGTCTCCCAAAAAAATTCGACCCCCTCTAGCGGGCCGCAGTGGTGTCCGGTTTTGACAATTTAGGTATCTATCAAAAGCTCACGGAAAAGATGCACTTTCGCTTTTTAATATAGGCACTTTAATTCACGAATTTTTGGGCCAAAATCCATGAAGGCCGCGGATTTTATCAAAAATCCGCGTATTAATTGTTTGCGAAAGCTAACAGGAGGACGTTGATTTTACGCTTTTTAAAGAAATTGTTCAATATCGAACGCCGTCGAAAAATTTTGTAAAACAAAAAGCGCTTGTTTTCTCGCAGTAAGCTTTCGCAAGCTTCGAATAATCGGGTCCGACCTTTCACCGGAGCGCTGCAGGGGGGTCGATTTTTTTTGGGACACCGTCTTTATTCAAAAAAGAAGCATGGTATATTCGCCCCGCCTGACTTTGGCAATTTCACTTCGACGCGCACCGAGAATTGCTCATTTTTACTCAAATTAGAGCTACGAACGCTCGGAGAAAAAAAGGTTTCAAGAATTGCTGGTGTAAAAGCGATACTGATATGTCGAATTCGCCTTTGATATTTAACAGTGAAAAATCGTAACCCTTTCCCGGTGTCGGTCTTTTGTGTGGTGTGTGCTATAAATCGCGTAGTGTTAATAGGGTTCTTGTGTATTATTGGGGGTGGCTGCTTCCTTACAAGTCCAAGAATGTTTTTTAAACTAACACGAAAAGTTTTGATATTGCTTTACGTCAAATTTGACGATATCCCACGGCAAAACAATCATCTAAAAATGATAGAGCAGCCATTTTTCAGCAAATTTCAATATTTTCGTATCTTTAAAAAATTTTACATTTCGAAAGAGTAAAAAATATGTGACGGTAGTAAATACTATTTGCAAATAAATTTAATCTGAGAATTTAGCGCATTTTAGCGCTTTTTACACAATGACACTAAAGTGACAATTAAATTGTTTTATCGAAATTTATTCAAAGTACAGCGTGAAACATGTGCTTCTCAAAATTTGGCCAATCCTCGGAGATCGATGGCCGGCTCCTCGACGGTGAGTGCATCGTCAGAGGAGGCCGAGTGTTGTGGGGTTTGTGGGTGGAGTGGGAGTGGGGAATCCCTGGAATCCACAATAGAAATTTGCCTTTGAAAAATTATTTTTAAAATTAAAAGAATAAATTCTCGAAATTTTCGGATTTGTGAAAAAATGTTGCGGCTAAAAACGTTGTTGACACAATAAATGCGGACACAATTGCGCGACTCCTCCTTTCCAAGAATTTGATTTTGCAACTCTTTAAAGCGCACGTTCAGGGAGGGACCGTGTACTCGTCCCCACGTGTACATATCATTACGTAAAAAATTTCATTAAAAATACAAAAATATAGTTTTTCGGCCAAAAATTGCCGATTTTGCTCAAGAATTTCAGAATTTTAAAAGTTTTGCGGTAATTTTCTGCTTTCAAATAGATAATTTGTAAATACCTCCCATTTTGGCTCCCTCGTGACTATGATCCAAATTGCTGCCACCGGAAAAACATTGCGATTGGAGAAATATTCAACGCTTTTTTTGCTCGAAAGGAAAGGATCTGGGATTTACGGATTTTGGCTTCATATTGGGTTTCAGATCCATGTATTCTTCAAAATGCTCTTAAACAATATTTAATGCATTTTAGTAGTGATTTTTCGTGAAAATTGTGTGGAGTGCGAACCTGAGCCTCTTCGACAATAGCTTACGACATCTATCTCCATTCACCAACACCGAGCCGCGGTTGCAGAAGAATGCCTCCTCGAAGGGCAGCTCTTGAGAGGGTTTCCCGAGAATCTAAACGAAACATAATTTTTATATTGTATTTTTTGTATCACAACTGAAAAATATGAAGCGGATATTGAGATCGCTGACAAGCAGCTTTATGGGTCAGAATTTGAAACACTTTCTTAAAAAATTCCTATGTCAGAGACAATCGTTTTTGATTGCAATTAGATTTAATAAGCTTAAAAACTTTGAATTGGCTAGAAAGCAGTTAGAATGTCGAATTTATGAAACACGTTTTTTAAAGATTCCTGCAGTGAATTAATAGAGATCGCTGTAAATATAAAAATTCTTATTGACTTCCTGGCCGCTTTAAATACTTGTTTTTCCTATAAAAAGAGTTTTCTTAGCGATAGAATTAGATACTAAATAATGTAAACTTTAAAGCATTAGGTTTTGGATGGATTAGGTTGACCTGATTGAACTCGCGGAAAACGCCTATAGATATATTTATCCCAAGCCGCAGCAAGATTTTAGGTGTTTTTGGACGCACATATTCTATAGCTCGAAACAAACATTAAAAAAATTCCAATTGACTCCCAATTACAATTAAATTCATCGGGTAATGAAAGAAACCAAATTCTACTCGTTGGAAAGTCGTTATACTAGCGGATATGTGAAACATCTATCACTTGTAACACGATTTTTCGATTGTAAGCAAAGTAAAACCTCCAAAAAATCCTTAAAAATAAACTTTCTTCATGGTCAATACCTTTAAAGCATTGGTGTACTGGAAGATTCCGCCCTTGAGGCCAATTTGGACGACAGCCAACACCGTCGAGGTAGCCTCGACTTTCGCGTTTCTGATCGGGTCCCTGAAATTCTTTGGCTAGCCATCTCTCTTTCTCTCTCTTCCTCTCTCTCGCTAGCTCTCTCTCTCTCTCTCTCTCTCTCCTTCATTCAATCTTATTTATGAAAAAACAAGTTATCTGCTTAATAGCAAGCGAAATTTTTTTGATCTTCATTTGTGAATGAAACAGCTAAATTACACCAAGTTTTTTCAGCAACGAATTCATTGTTCCCGTAACATCTATTAGCTCGCCTGAACAATTATACCACTGTAATCTTGTTTTTCAAATAACCCGATCCATATTTATTTAGCTTCCTACCTCTCGGCGATAAAGGTTGCATTAATCTTGTATCCCGATGCTCCGAAAGACTCGCCGGTCACCTGCGCCTTTCCACAGTCTGTCGATTTCCTGGAAAAAATGAATTTGCAAAATATTTTGGGACGTACGTGGTATATTCAAAAATATAAAGTTAGTGGTTTTGCTTGGTTGTCCGAGATTTATCTTATTTTCTACCAGCAACTTTTCGAAAATCAATGTTTACATCAAAAATAAACTGATGCGTTTTGGATTCTTTAATAAATGACATTTTGAAAATATTTGATGTTTCGATTGTTTTCAAACATACTTTTTAATTTTAGCACTAATCATCCGTTCATGGAACATTACATTGACTGAAGGGCAGGCTAGACCAGATCCTTGAAAAAAATTTGAGGTCAGATCCGGAAATTTCAGTAAGTTTTCTCATTATTATTATTATTATAAGGAAAGGATAATTTTGTTTATAAAATAGGGGATGGAGATATAAAACGAAAAATAAACCAAAGTACCCAAAAATAAAAAATTGTTTCCTTTATTCTAGACCTGTATTCGCTGTGAAATGCCCACTTGTCGAGCTCGGATCCGCCGCAGATCAGCCAGTGCTTGTTGATGAAGCGCAGCGAGGCGAGCACCGAGTTGCGCAACAACGAGCTGAACTTGCGCACGCCGGACAGCTCGGAGACGCGCGCCTCTGGGTAGGTGACCTGGAGCAGGTGGATGAAAAGGAAAACAGCAGATAAAAGGTTTTTAAAGGACCATTCAAGACAATATTCCGTCAATTGATTGTTTTTTATCCAGTCGATTGAGAGCTAAGTTAAATTTTACATGTTTCGAAAATTCTCGACATGAAAAAATAGATATGGATGCCTAATTATCCGTCCAACTTGATGAAAAATCATCCCAAACCTACCTGGAATCTAACGACGCGGACGGCTGGCTCGAGCTCGGGCTCGGATTGGGCCTGTATAGCCCCGGAATATAAGATAGCAGCCAGGCAGAAACTTCTGAACAGCATCTGAAAAAAATAGATATATAAATATAGATACGATCGAAAATTATCGAAAAATTAAATCGGTAATCTAATTAATAAAATTAGAAGGGCACGAGACTGCTTCGCTCACGGATTAGAAAAAAAAGCAAATTCCTGAGTTTTGGGCGATGATGAAACGTTTTATTTCCAAACACTAATAAATTAGAAAAACCGTCAAATAGGGGAAGCACTGGCGAAACTAGGAATAAGCTATCGAATTCCCATAAAAACTGCTACTTTTGCTGCAATATAGAATAAAATTAACAAATTTTTATAGAAAAATTCGCTGTTTAATGTTGAGTAAAAATAACGTTGCTGTAGAATAAAATTATTAATTTAATGTAGAGCAAAACCATTACTACGACATGACAAATAAATAGAAGGTTTTGGCTATAACTTTTTTATTTTACATTATTGGAGGCTCGAATTAGAACCTTTTGAAACTTTATGTTTTTGATGCTCTATCGAATCGTGTTGCAAAATCCCGACAAAAATGGCGAAAATATCGAAAACTTCGAGACCCTTCATCTGTGGGGGGGTAAAATAAAACTTGCCCTAGAAAAATAAAAGCGTTTCGGATATCGAGAAAACGGGACGAAATAATGAGAGGTCAATACGTCCATGACCCTCTCTGCTAGCCGGCCTTGAAATTTTTGTTTTAATCTTTAAGGTTTTTTGATGCCCACAGAGCCACAGAGATACGTAGCTAATTCTTTGCAACTGGTTTTATTGCTCTACCAACTCAAAGGCCTTAAAGATGCATGAATAAAATAAGATAGGGGATTCGAGGTACTTTCCCATTATCGGGGGGCCCCTCCCCTTTCTTTCCCATTTTCGAAATTCCCGAATTTTTATAACATTTGCTAACATTTTTGCGAAATTCGTTGAATCTTCGATGCTTTTTCTCATGCAGGGGTTTTTAAAAAAGACCCTATTTTCCAAATTTTTACATCTTTTCTGGCAGACCATCGCGGCTTTTTGAAAGGCATTTAAGAAAACACAGGACAGAAACCGATTAAATTGAGTTTTTGCACAAAATTGCGTAATTTACGCCCAAAAAAACGATAAAATTGGGTTAAAAAATGGGGAATTTCACAAATCGGAGAAAAAATATCTTCTCAGCTCGTCGAGAGCTTTCGATAGATATCAAAATCGTAAAAATCGGACATCACTGCGGACCGCTAGAGGGGGGCTTTTTTGTACACCTTGTTGATTACAGACTACATGAATCCGGATGCAAATTAAAACGTACAGCACATGCCAAACGGCTAACTTAAGTGAAACAAAAATTTATAAAATTTCAAAATACTTTTGTCGTTTGGAGGAGGTTTAATGGTTTTGATTGGGTTTGAAAAGTGAGCTTCCGGATCCGGGCTTTTCCCGGCGCGCCGGGGGGTCAAAATATGCTGATCCGTCTGGCTTTCCCTACGCAAACCGAAAGTCGCGCTCACCCCCCTCCAAAAAAACTGGTAGCAGCGGGGCGCCATTTCGGGCTAATCCCCGGCCTGGCAGCTGCATCGGGGGGTCCCTCAAGGCAAAATACTGCCCCAAGGATATAGATTTAGGTAATAACATATTTTTTCTGAGATTATCCTATTTTGACAAAACGCGTCCATAGCTAGAGTAAGTGTTCCCAAACTATTTTTTACTATTTCTAAACGGGAAAACGTCGCAGATTTTTATTTAAAAAATATACACATATAGCATTCTAACGAAAATCGCCGATTTTTTTACCAAACTTGACATAAAAAGTAGTATTATGCGATAGTCAGATTTAGAAAATAGCTTTGAAAAAGGGAGCCTACATTGCAGCCATTATTTTAAATGTTTAAAGGACCTGTTGTTTCCAGCCATTTAAAGGAACTAGGCATCCAAAAACCAAGTTTAAGCTATCGTATCGTATTTTTACACTTTCTGAGGAATAAGGAAATCAAGCGACGAGCTAAAAATATGCTTTTCGAGGGTCGATGCAGGCCAATCTATGGAGCACAGCGTTCTGGATTAATGGCGTGCTTAAGAAGATTTTTTAATACCTAAATGCCCCCCCCCCCCAAGGATTCATATGATACGCAGCGCGCAAGAACGCTGATCCGGAAAGTCCGGTCAAAAAATATAAGAAAACAGGGGCGCTATGCCAAAAACCATCAACACGTCGAAACCGCACATTATTGAAAATCGGTTGCTGGATTTTGCGTCTCTTGGGGAAACATCAATTTTCTAAAAATCGTGCGTAACAGTCCGAACCATAGGGAGTTTGAAATTTTTGCTGGTAGGCAGGGTTGGTCACGCTGGATCCTAATCGGATCCGGTCCGGTCCGGGGGTCGGTCCGGTCCGGTCCGGTCCGAAATTTCCATCCGGACCGGACCGGACTGGACCGGACCGGACCTGTCCGGTCCGCGGCGGACCGAGGGGCTTTGATTTGCTAGGAGAAACGGAAATGCAACATGCAAATTCGGAATGCAAAAGAGTGGCGTACCAAAAAAATGACGCGATGTGGAATTCGCTTAATCAAAATGTATAAAATCATTCCTCCCTCAGTAATTGTTGGCTATATACGCGGCGGCTAGTAGCCTAGATGTGGAAAAATATGTCAAATTCTTCGAGAGTAGTATTTTGCATACAAAATTTTCCATATCTGGCTCCTGAATCATGTCCCTGCGTGTTCAGACCGGACCGGACCGGTCCGGTCCGGTCCGGTCCGGTCCGGTCCGGTCCGGTCCGGTCCGAAATTCTCGGATCCACTCGGACCGATCCGGACCGGACCGGACCGCGGACCGTCCGCGGACCGGATCCTTTGTGACCAACCCTGCTGGTAGGCCAAAAATCTTTGGGCTTCTCCTGCAATTCGAGGATGAATATTTGGGAGGTGTTCGAGCAGGAGAATGGGCGATGATCTAGAGATGTAAATGGCAGATATGCAGAACTGGAACCTGAGGACGAGGAGAATGAGGAGGAGGAGTAGGTGGAGACAGGATTCATCCGGGGAAAGTCGTGCTCAATTGTCTCTTTCTCTGTCAATCTCTCTCGCGCTCTCTCTCTCTCTCTCTCGCTCTCTCTCTCTCTCTAGTTCCCATTCCCGATCCACAAATTGGCACCGTTCATGGGTGCGTAACGTACTCGACGGAGCCTCGGGGGTGAAAACGGTTCCACTGACTTTCTAAGCAACCTCATTACCTCTCAAAGCATGCGCTCAAGCTATTGGATCGACATAGTTTTTGTCAGAATCTGGCGGAACATTATTTTCGGGAAGAATCACAAAGATCTGGCAGAAACAGTAGCCATTTTTCCTGAAACCTAATTCCTTAAAAGGGGTGGTTAAAAAGTGCTGTTCTCTTTCCGTTCCAATTACTCTGATCGTTTGTAGATAAGGCACGCCAAAATCTGAGTATCATGAAGGTAAAAAATCTGGGTTGGTTGGTGCAGTTTTACACAACAAAAACATGTTTCAGTCCAAATGATCGCCAAAAAAAGCAAGGCGCGGCTATTGATTGCGAAATTGATGAAAATTCGAAACATAAAAGTTTCCCAGAAAAAGAATAAAAAAGGGAAGGGCTGCTTCGAATAGTCCTTGGGGGGGCAAGGAAATGGCAAAACTAACTAAAAAGTTAAAAAATTCAAATTCGAAATATTTCTAAATCTTAAATTCTTTAATTAAATTAAATTTATCTTAATCTACAAATATTAGTTTTAATAAATTATTGAAGACAAATTTGTATTTTTTGCGTCAAAAAACAGCCCAAAGAATGATATAAAAATACTTGCTCTATTGGATTGGATTCCAACGAAAAAAAATTGGTTTTGCCCCCTGATAAATCCCCCCCGATAATGCCAAAGAACCCCCGAAAAGAATCTCCATCGCCGGCGCGCCTCGGGAGGTAAACGAAGCCGGGGCGCGGCGCCGGGCAGGGTGAAGGGTTTTTGCCATGTCCTGCTCCTCTTCCCCCTGCCCCTCCCCGGGGCACGATAGGAGCATGAGGGGGCCGGTCTGGTACTTATGAAAAAGTGCTCCTTCCCGGTATTCTAGCTCTCCCCCAATAACACCCACTCCACCCTCAAACCCTGCCATCGGGAAGATGAGCAACAAAGGGTTGGGTGGATGCGAGCTGATCAAGGCCGCGGAGGATGAAACATAAAAATTAAAAATTTGAGGAAATCGCGATTTTGGTTTATCGAGCCCCAGCTTCGCACCCAGGTTTTTAAGCTCGTTTGTCATTCATCACCGAAAAAACTTTTCAAAATTTATTACAAACTAATTCTCGAATTTACGATTTTTTCGATCCAAATTTCAAAATGCCTCATTTTTTTTGCTATTTTTCAGCTTAACTAACGACTAGAAAAAGCTAAAAAAGATATGCTAATCGCTTTATTCGAGGTAGAAACTCATTCCAGTTTTTTTACAGTTGGTCAAAAATTGCGAAAGAATCATGAACATCTTTGGCAAAAACGATGTTTTATTCCATGTCCATTATACCCTGGACTTCAAGTAGGGCAATCTTGGTAAAATATTGGTCTCAAAAACCGATCCAAATATTTATTAAATCGAAACACATCGACAGTATAGAGACACGAAAAATGGCGAGACGGTAGAATCCAATGGGAGGTACGGTAGAAGAGCCGGGAAGCCGTGGGCATTCTTGAGGATCGTTGTAGGGGTACAGTCGCGTAGTCGGGGGTCGCTTCACGTCAGCTTGACCTCGATTTTGCCCGCCTCCTGGCACACCATCTCACCACCCTTGCTGGCAGGAAGGATCTGGAAAAACGGGGGTGCTTGTGCGTTATCGGGGGTAATCTTTGCGTTCACGTCTGCCTAGTGAGGAAAACGACGTATTTTACAAGCTAGCAGAGATTGTTAAGGAAGAGGAGAGGGCAGGCTAGCAGAGATTGTTGAGGAAGAGGAGAGGGCAGGCTAAGCAGAGATTGTTGAGGAAGAGGAGAGGGCAGGCTAGCAGAGATTGTTGAGGAAGAGGAGAGGGCAGGCTAGCAGAGATTGTTGAGGAAGAGGAGAGGGCAGGCTAGCAGAGATTGTTGAGGAAGAGGAGAGGGCAGGCTAGCAGAGATTGTTGAGGAAGAGGGGAGGGCAGGCTAGCAGAGATTGTTGAGGAAGAGGAGAGGGCAGGCTAGCAGAGATTGTTGAGGAAGAGGAGAGGGCAGGCTAGCAGAAATTGTTGAGGAAGAGGAGAGGGCAGGCTAGCAGAGATTGTTGAGGAAGAGGAGAGGGCAGGCTAGCAGAGATTGTTGACGAAGAGGAGAGGGCAGGCTAAGCAGAGATTGTTGAGGAAGAGGAGAGGGCAGGCTAGCAGAGATTGTTGAGGAAGAGGAGAGGGCAGGCTAGCAGAGATTGTTGACGAAGAGGAGAGGGCAGGCTAGCAGAGATTGTTGAGGAAGAGGAGAGGGCAGGCTAGCAGAGATTGCTTCGGAATTTAGGTCTTTTTACTCACATCGTAGTAGGCGATCTTCAGCGTGCCACCAGCGCCGGCAGGCTGAAAATGGTGAAATTCGCAAGCTTTAAAGGGACTTTGAAGCCAAATTCCTATGGATTCTTGCCAAAAATACCTTCTTCTGGATCTCAAAAAGGCGCGAGTCGCCGGTGGCCATCATGTCGGTGGCGGGCAGATTGGTGACATAGTTCGTCGGGTCGCTCAGCTCAACCTGGGAATGAAACATTGGATTTCCTCAACAATCTTTGCTAGCCTGCCCAGCTGTGTAAAATTCAAAGTTCCCAAAATCACCGTATCCCGCATGATATCCACAAAAAGAAAAGGAGAAGGGGGCTGAAGCTTTCTTCGAAATGCTAATTGCTTTTTCCTAGCCGCACCGCCCCGTTACGTGCGGCTACAAATATTTCTGAAGGCCGGCGGGGCATAATAACCCAAGTCGGGTACGGTAATTATAAAGATTACACGAATTATAAGAATTCCACGGTAAAATCGTATCTCGGACGTTCCTCTCCCGCATTAGGCGGTCGAGGTATTCCACAAAATGGTACATTCATGAAACATTTTTTCTAAAAAAAGAATAAAATTTTCGAAGTTTTTCGTGTTGGGTTTATATTGTTTAATTGCTAATCAACTCCTCATAGTATATGTATTTTTCTGGGTTTGAGACGTTTTTGCGCTTGTTTTTGATTTTGCTAAGATGTAAAAATCTTTGAAATCTCGGATTTTTTGCCGTTTTCATAAGTTTTCACACATTTTCGACTAAAAATACACAATTTCCTGAATTATTAATTTTATGTGTTTTTCATATCGGTTTTTTTAACGCAAGATGCCTCACTTGGATCATATACTTCTTGGTGGTCTTGTTGTTGAGGCGCAGCTTGACGGTACCGCCGCCCGGGGGGAACGAGGCCTGAAAAAACATTAATAATAAACTTTGAATCTACAACAAATTCTTAAAGTTTGCTTTACAAAGTCGAAAAGAATAAATAAATTAATTTGAATACATAAAAATCGTGAAATTTGAGATTTACAAATTCCTAAAATTAGCATACGGTAGCTGGGTCGCAAACGATCGGGGCGGCCATCGGGTGGGTGGACGGGCTTTCAAGATGAATTTCGAGGACGTACGATCGGATTTTAGCGAGAATTATATGCAAATTTGAGACAATATCCGTTGGAAAATATGCAAATGAGGGAATTTGTCACTTAAGATTTTTTTCATGTCATTAAAACACGGAATACGAATTAAAGACAAAAACGGGCTCATGTAGTATTATAATTTTTATCTTGCCACTGTAAGTCCTAATTACAGGTAGCAGGCTAGTTTCTGGATACCTTGGCCTGCCACCAATTATCGGCTTTATGCTAATTATGCGCCCCGGATCGCGTGGGCAAAAACGGGGAAATTACCGTAAGAAAAGCGGTTACGGCTGGCAGAAAATAGAAATGGCTAAAGAGCTGCATTTAAAAATGAAAAGAAATTTGAAAAACATGATTTTCAAAAAAAAAGTTTCATGGGCCTTCTGCAATCGGATGAGTATTAAGTTACTGGCAAGATTGGCAAGTCTCTAGAAGGCGCTAATATGGATAGCAAATTGAAACAAATATTTTAGAGTTTTAAGTGGCGGCAAAAGATGATCGGTTGTTTTACACTGACGATGAATGGAAAGAAAGAAAAACTGCGTGGACGCGGCGGCTTTATGAAACGTACCGATTCTGTATTAATGAATTTGGCCAGTTTCCACAGCATTTACGTTGTTAATACTTATAAATCGCCGGTGCACTTCATCCATTTCGTAATGGAAACGCGAGCCGTACTATTCGAAAACCTAAAAATAATAAATTACAGAAGTAATTTCATGCCGAAATGCCGGGTCATGAATCTACAGTAGCAAAACACAAATTAATTTTTAAAATTTAATTTAATTAAACACCAGGGTTGAAAAGCCGCTTCGCGACTTCTCAACCCTGGCCACATCTAACCCCATTTTATCCTTCATCACTCTACATAATTGACATGAATTCAGATGACAACAAAGGAAAAACAACTGCTTCTCTGCCTTTATATATAGCCGAATCACCACTTTCGGTCTATGTTAATTATTTCCTAACAAAGGAGCTTTCACAAAAACTTGAATTTAATGTCGAAATGACTGATTTTGTCAAATTTGATATGTGTGCAGTCATCTCAAGACCATTGCGCACCTAATGACGTATCAAACATACCCGTAACTTCATCCCCTATCGAGATATCCTCCGGACAGACAAACGGAAGTGGATGCAAAGTGGCACACACACACACAGACACTATTTTTTTTATATATACCAGGGTTGAAAAGCCGCTTCGCGACTTTTCAACCCTGGCCCCGTCTCACCCTAATACTTCATCATTTTACATAAACACCTGTGCAGAAAAATGAAGAGCGCGTCCTCTCCCCCATTATATAGACGACCGCGACTTCCGGTGCATGCTAATTTTATCCTAACAAAGTGGGGTGTCCGATTTTCCATGAAAAACTTAATTTTAATGTCGAAAACATCATATTTTGTAAAATCTAATATGCGTGCAGCCGTTCCCAGGCCATTACGCACCGAATGACAAATTTAAAATATTACAAAAATCGCTGAAACTCCAAATTTCGATGCGAAGTCGGGCAGCGATTGGCCGGCCCCAAGCTACCGTACCCCAACTGCGGAGACAAAAAAGGCGTTGCCAAGACAGCTTTTCCCGCTTCGAGACCCAAATTCCCACCCCTCGCCCTCTTCACCCGGCCTCAATTATAATTCGCGACCCCCGCCAAGCTTTTTCTGCGATTTATAATTTGTATGTGTAGTTGGGGGTGGGTTTATAGTTTCCCCACGGAATCGTAGGGACCATTTTTGATCGGGGTTTTGGCCGCGTAGATCGTAGCGACCCGGAAAAAGGCGCTAGGAATTTCTGAAATCCCAGGGAGCAGCGGAAAAATTTTAATTCGACGATTCGGATCCGGAATGCGCGAAACTTAGGAAATTGGCTAAAAGTCGATCGATTTTTAGGCAAATTTGGTTGGGAGCAGGGTTGTTCACCGATGGACCCGGATCGGTAACGATCCGGATCGGATCTGGATCCGGATCCGGATCGGATCCGCAGCAGGATCCGGATCCAGATCCAGATCCGGATCCGCTCGGATCCGGATCCAATGCGGATCCGAAGGAAAAAGGGACCGGAAGTAATATTCTCGATTCTGATGCTGATTCGCTCATGTTAATCGCAAAAATACATAGCCCAGAGGCAGAACTGATCTTTGCATCTAAGAATTAGCACTTAACTCGGTTGCATGATCCATTTCCTTGGATCCGGATCGGATCGGATCCGCCCTGGATCTGGATCCGGATCCGGATCCTACGGCGGATCCGGATCCGGATCCGATCCAGATCCAGATCCGGATCCAGTCCGATCCGAAAATGACCAACCCTGGTTGGGAGTATCGTTAAAACGGCTGTTCCTGTGCCGGAAATGGATGGAATTTCGGTCCTAGATAATTCAATTGCTCAGGGATATCGAAAAACTCTGCCTTACATGCTCCTTGAAAGGTTCTTTTGCGTTTTCAGGGGGGTTTGGGATGAGTATCAAAAGTAATACTGGCGTTGTTCTTTAAATTTGCTTATACGTAAAGTGAAAAATTTTCTAAAAACGTCAAAAAACTTAAAAATTCGAACGTAGTCGCAAAAGGATCAAACGTCGTTTTAGGTTTCGGATATTTCCAAAGAGCTTAGAAACACATTTTCTTTATATTATAAAATTGATATCGTGGAAAATTTGATCCCCCCGATAATGCAACAGAACCCTTTTCTAGGATGGACACACTTCTCCACACGGACTGGTGGTTCAGCAACCCACATCCACCGTATCCCCCAATTCCACCGCCCGACATTGAGCCACACCACTCTACGCGTCAAGATCAAGACGAGCGACCCGAAATGGTAATTCAGTTAAAACAAAGTTTTTTACAACCATTATCCAGGCCCGATTTCCTAGGAATTTTTAGTTTGGCGAGTTAAAATAATAAGTTTCGAAAATAGGGCTAGCGAGTTCGAAATTTCAAAAAGAATTACGTGCCGAATCGTGCGGAAACCCAGGCCTGGGAATTTTGCGGGCCGGGCCGAGAAAAATCGGCATTTTTCCACCGGGCCGGTCCGGGCCGGGCCGGTCCGGGCCGAGAAATTGAAAAATGCCGGGCCGGGCCGGGCCGACCCGGGGGTTTTTACATAGTCTAAAAATACCTTTTTTTGGGGGGAAATTGGGACTTAATTTGCATATTTTCGCTTACGAATAGTCGATTTGGCGTTATTATACAGCCTCAATACAAATTTGGTCCTTTTCTTGACTAAGTCCCTACCAGGAAATCGACTCGGGCCGGGCCGGGCCCCGATTTTTCCGGTTGAGCGTTTCGACATTATAAATTTCGACATGATAATACCAAATCGATGTTCTGAGGAGTTTCATCGAAAATCCCTAAAGCCAAAATACCGACAGTCAGATTCCCGATAGGCCAAAATGCCGACATCGAAAATGCGGACATCCATATTTGCGACATCCTTTTAAATCGCTATTTTGCATGCCGAGATTTTAACGTGTCGGCATTATGGCTATCGATATTTTTGAGACCTATTATCCTAATCATCTAACAGGACTTCCAGAATTAAAATAATGCGTTTCGAGACTAGCGTCATAGAGCCCAAAATTTCATTCTTTATTATGGTTGCAAATTTCTGCAGAAAAATTCCGTTTCAGAGCCGCAAAAACCGCCGGATTTTTCGAAATGAGACAATTACTACAAATAATTAGCCAAATTGTGCATAATACGTATCGTCGGCAACCGCTTACCCTTCAAAAAAGCTTAATTAAGCTTGGGGGAAAAATTGATGTTCCACATATCCGGGACGTCTAACAGGCAGCGTCATTATTACTTGCGTGTTCAGTTTTGATAATAATTTTCAGTAAAATTGCGTTTCATAAATTATCCTTATTAAAATAAAACAGCATCGATCAAACTCATTATCGAAAGTCATAGTGATTATTTCAATACGTTTTTCGTTAAAATTTAACTATATTTCCAGTAGATAAAGTAACTTTTTTGACTTTTTTAGACGGAACTTCCGACTGCTCGCCCCAGCGTGCTCCAATCCACCTGGAATTACTCCTTCGATGATGCTCCATCATTACCTCCAGCTCCCACACAATCACAACTACAAACTATACAATCGCCATATGCACCGTATGATATCACACAACTACAACCAACAGTATTCCCTCTGTTACCAGCGGTGAGTCCTCAACAATCTCTGCTAGCCTGCCCTCTCCTCTTCCTCAACAATCTCTGCTAGCCTGCCCTCTCCTCTTCCTCAACAATCTCTGCTAGCCTGCCCTCTCCTCTTCCTCAACAATCTCTGCTAGCCTGCACTCTCCTCTTCCTCAACAATCTCTGCTAGCCTGCCCTCTCCTCTTCCTCAACAATCTCTGCTAGCCTGCCCTCTCCTCTTCCTCAACAATCTCTGCTAGCCTGCCCTCTCCTCTTCCTCAACAATCTCTGCTAGCCTGCCCTCTCCTCTTCCTCAACAATCTCTGCTAGCCTGCCCCCTCCTCTTCCTCAACAATCTCTGCTAGCCTGCCCTCTCCTCTTCCTCAACAATCTCTGCTAGCCTGCCCTCTCCTCTTCCTCAACAATCTCTGCTAGCCTGCCCTCTCCTCTTCCTCAACAATCTCTGCTAGCCTGCCCTCTCCTCTTCCTCAACAATCTCTGCTAGCCTGCCCTCTCCTCTCCCTCAACAATCTCTGCTAGCCTGCCCTCCCCTCTTCCTCAACAATCTCTGCTCGGCTGCTGCTGATTCATTAAAAACTATGCTAACAAGCAAAAACAAGCGGCAAAAGCATCGGATTCCCACCAAAAATTAACCTGAAATGCCTTACAGGAATGAAACATTTTTTGCAGCACTTTTGTCCATATTCACGCGGTTCAGGTTGACAGTTAATAGCATAGAAAGTGTTTTTATATTGTTTTTGGTTCGTTGTAGTTACTTAGAGTTCAAAAAATAGGCAATTTTGGAAAATCCCAAATTTGGTCATTTTAGGTCGAAAGCATTGTCTTGTGCCTATTAAGTTTAAATATAGCATTAAAAAATGTTGAAACACATCCACGATTGACTGAAGAAATTTGGTTGTCGCCAAAAACGGCTGGAGGGGAAAGTTGGCAAAGATCCGACACGGTTCAAATTCAAGGCTATCTCCAGGTTCCGGGCATGCTAGCAGCGATTTTTGAGGAACTATATTTTCCATTTAATGCATATCTCTTAAATCCTACCCTTCTAGCCGAATTAATCGACTCTCGTTAGCTCGAGCCTCCCCAAGCTTCATCCGGTATTTTCCCATGGGTACCCGGGCAATGGCCTGCGCCTTTCCCTCGCCACTCAACAACCTCTGCTAGCTTCCAGCTACAAGCCCATACAAAACATACTTTTCTTGTCATCGATTTTGTAGTCGTGGCAAGTTTAAACAATTCAGCCTGGAAAAACTGTTTCGAGAAAAATATCGCAACCGATGAGTTAAATTCTATAAGCCTGAATTTTGGCATAGCTTAGTTTGCCGGATAGATTATCATCGCGCGTAAAAATCTATAAGAATCCATAGGTAAAAAAATCCTAGGCACTCACATACCCGTCCCTTTAAATTCGATTTTGCATTTTAAATGCACCCTTCCTCATTAAATTTCTCATCATTAATCGCTCCCGAATCTCGAAAAAAAAACATATTTCGTAGAAGCTACGTGAAAAATCAAAAAATATTTGTCTAATCCAATCCCGCGAAACAGCTGGAACATCTTAACGGGATCGGGAACCAGGAAAACTCTGTTTTTCTCTGCCCGTCCATTTAAATAGCCCAATTTGTGTTTAACACATCCAATCTCGCATTAAATCTATCAAGGTCTATCGATTCTCTATTCGGAAAAAAACAACATATTTTTTCAAATTATGGGCGAAAAAACTAAAAAGATATGTTTTTCCATAGGATCTGAGGTCGTGCGAGACGGCGTCAATAACCGGTGGTCTACTTTTATAAATCAACTTCTTCAACAATTTTGTTAATGAAAGGGATACAATGCTTGGTTTTATCTATTTCATTAAACTGAACATGCCGTGTTAAAAACTGACCCTTAAATTTTATTTTAAATTCTAAGTAAGGTTGAAAAATGAGTTTTGACGATTTATGATCCCCAGCGGCTGAGAGACGGCGCCAGTAACTTGTTTAATCTGTTGTAACAACATTTAATTTTGTTTTCCTTAATTTAAAAAAATTAAATCGTTCTAACCCTTAAATCTTATTTTAAAATCATCGTTTTTCTAATTAAAGTTCAAAAACTGTGTTTTGCCAATTTATGTTTTCAAGCGGCCAAGCGAGGCGCTAGTAGACCCTCCGCCCAACAATAAAATTCTTTTTCTGAAATAATTATTTTGACAATTAGATTATCTTTTTAGTTCTTCACTGCCGGAGCTGGAGTTTCAGCCGCCAAATTTTGAGATGGTGCCGGAGACGTCGGCGGGCAGACCGTCGGTACTCGCCCACGGTTCCGATGTCAGCCGGGTTCGTGCTTTACCCGCTTATATCATTCAAATAAAAAATAATTAAATAACATATAGTAATATATTACTAACTAATATGGCCGAAATGCAACGGTTTCATATTAAAAGGCCGTTTGCGAGAGGACCGAACAATGCTTGGCACAGTTTTTTTACCCTGTTTTTTTTGACCGCATCGGAAAGAGCATAGTCGAATTAGTAGGGCTGCATAGTTTTGAATGTTTAAAAAGTTAATTTTTAGGGTTTAAATTGGAGTCAAAGTTGCCGACCCTCAAAATTATCCTCGAAAGTTACTGAACCAAATTGGGCGAAAATACAGTACCTAATTTGGGATGTTTGATCATTTCTTTATATCGAAAGCACGAAAATGAGCGGAACATGGTTAAATCGCGTACCCAAAGCAGTTTTCCAGGGTTTTGTATTTTACGGGTTCTTGGCGGTCCGTTGTAAATAACCTTAAAGATGCGCAAAAATTTCCACGAATGAGTGTATTTTATACCGGGCCGACAGAAACCTCTACTCTGTTATAAAGCATTTACTGCGCGCAAAAGTCAGCCTCAAAATGGCCAAAACGCCCAAATGACCACTTTGAAATCGAATATATCAAACCGTATCTAGAGAACGAGCTCAGTCTATTGCAAAAAAGAGCAAAAAGAAATTCGGCTTCTGAATATAGGCGGAGATCCGGGGAGGAATCGAACTCGACCCTTCGCCTGAAGCCTCCCTGGGGCCGTGGTGGATTGCATGAGTGCTCGCCTACCAATCCAAGGGCCGCGCCAGTTCGATCCCAGCCCCCCTTGAAAAGCATTATTTCTTTTTGCTCTTTTTTGCAATAGACTGAGCTCGTTCTCTAGATACGGTTTGATATATTCGATTTCAAAATTGGTCATTTTTGAGGTTTTTGACCCATTTTGGGGGCTGTTTTGCGCGCAGTAAATGCTTTATAGCATGAGTAGGGTTTCTGTCGGCCCGGTATAAAATACCTCATTCGATGTAGAATTTTTTTGCGCATCTTTTAAGGTTATTTACAACGGACCGCCAAGAACCCGTAAAATACAAAACCCTGAAAAACTGTTTTGGGTACGCGATTTAACCATGTTCCGCTCATTTTCGTGCTTTTCGATGTATTAGAGAAATGATCAGCATCCCAAATTAGGTACTGTGACAAATTTTCGACCAATTTGGTTTAGGAACTTTCGAGATAATTTTTGAGGGTCGGCAACTTTGACTCCGATTTAAACCCTAAAAATTAACTTTTTAAACTTTCAAAACTATGCAGCCCTACTAATTCGACTATGCTCTTTCCGATGCCGTCAAAAAAACAGGATCGAAAAGAACTGTGCCAAGGCATATTGGGGTCTGTTCGGGTGGCTCGCGGACGGCCTTTTAACTGCAACTGCTTGGTATTAACTGGTAAAGCTGCACTTTGCTAATTATTTTTTCTGAAACATTCACTTTTTCGAGTTTTCGTGCGTTTGACAAAACAATAAAACTAAATGATTAAAAATATAAGATAAATGTAGGAAAAATAGAATAGATAATGTTTATAGAATAGAATAGAAAAATATAAGAGTCCAGTTATCTAAAAATCCTTAGTTATCTAAAAATAACTATCTAATAGTGTTTTTCTTATCAAAATATACTATATTTCAAGTGGAAAACCATCAAAAATTAACGCGATTTCGAAAAATTTTTGCCGAAAAAACACATTTTTTGTATCGTTTATTACTAAGTAAGTTCAAAGCTTTTAGGTAAAAATTAAAAATAGAAAAAACAGAATCCTAATGAACCCTAATAAACCTAAACATTAATTCCGCATTTACAGTACGAGCCGAACTACAACTTCCCCTACTACGCCACGCGGGTGTGAGTTTTTTAAATTAATTTCGTTCTATGAACTGAAATTTGGGAAGCGCATTTTCTTATAAGCTTTGATTTGACATGTAAAAAATCTCGCGCTAACTCGAGGTTTATTGAGATTTTAAATAAATCCCAAATTTGAGAAAATTTAGTATTGTTGTATTTAAGAGCTTTACAACACAATAATGCCATAATGGTTACTTTTACGTAAAAATGCATAAGACTTTCTAATTCAGTTTTACATAAGTTAAACTGTTTTAATTTATAAATTTGTCAATTAAATATTGTGAAAGTTTGACAATTGACAAATTGTGTCCAATAAAGCAACACTACTTATTAAGTCTAAGTATCTCGTTTTCTACCAACTAGACTTTGAAACGGCTTCTTGCAGGGACGAGTTGCTCTTCTCGCAGCCGATTTTCGGCAACATCGACCCGGCCGTCTATTTGGGGGCCATTAAGGTAATTTACCATGCAAGTTATCAAAATAAAAAACGCTTATCGCCTTAGGAAAAGGCTGATTTTTCAAACAAAAATTTTTCAAAAAAATTAAAAAACTGAGTTGCACGAAAAAATGGGTGCGCGGAGGTAGCAGTGAAATTCATCTAGTTGTACAGGTAGTTTGTACCAACGAAATTCGGCGCAAACATTCTAAATGCTAGAAAGGTCGATATTTGTATTTTGACGATAATCGAATCTGTGTTTATCCAATTTAATAGATACCAGAAAAAATATGGTATCTAATTTAATTCATTCTTTTTATTAATTATTAATTCGCCTGCGTCATCATGAATTGATCTGGGATCTGTAATAAGCCGCGTTCTGTATATTGTTTAATTTTATAGATTTGAAACTCATTTTTTTTCAGAAAGACAAGGCTGCGGAAACGAAATTTAAGGAACCAAAGGAATCATCAGAATCGGCCGTCATCCCTAAAGAAGAAGTGAAGACGCCACAACCTGAGAATCCCGATCTTCCGGTCGGTTGTTAGTCGCCATACTGCAAAGAATCTCTGATAGCTTGCCCGGATTTTTAGAGAATTCAAGGCTAATAAAATTCATTATTGCGCCTTACAAGCGCCTTGAATTTAGACCTTTTTTAATAAATTTTTATAGCCCAGGCTCGAAATCGCTACAAGAGACTTGGATTCGCCGCCCGAAGGGAAAAACCCAGCCGATTGTCAGGTAATTCAGAAATGGTCTCTCTCTCTCTCTCCGCTCTTTATCTCTCTCTCTCTCTTTCTCTCTGTCTCTCTCTCAATGAAATAATTAAACGTGTAAAGCAAAATTCGTCAAGTGGTTTACGAAGGAATAATTGCGCCGCCTTAAATACAGGGGCTGACCATTTTTTCCGAAACATGTATTCATCTTACAAGTTCCCATTTTTTATCTAGGTCGTCTTTGAAAATTTTTTAATACTATTTTCATTAATGCGCGTTCAATTCTGTATCTTAAAAATTATAATTATAGCTACCCTAACAACTTTCAGGTATGCCGTTCGACGCAGGCGAACGGGCTGCACTTTGGGGCGCGGACGTGTGCTGCGTGCGCTGGTTGGGTTTTATCTGTTTTCCTGGCATTTCGTAGCTTCTATTTTTTCCATCAATATTTTTAATAGTGGTGAATCATTGAGTTTTTGGGGCATTCTAGATTTAAAAAATACTGTTCCTCCTAAAAATTCTAACGAAAAAAAAATCATGTTTCGACAGTCTCTCAAAATCAAATTTTATGAAACTCCGTAATGTTCCTGTGTGAGTAACGTTATATAATTAAGATACTTAAGGTATATGTCCAATCAAAAAATAAAAATGAACCTTTTTCTTGCAGCCTTTTTCCGACGAACCATCTCGGACGCCAAAAAGTACATCTGCAAGCGGTCGCAGCGCTGCACGACGGCTAGCAGGGATGGTGGGAATTTGACGCTAATTGGGAATAAAAATAAAAATAAAACCCAAATAAAAATAAAAAATCAAACTGAAAAATCGCCGTATTTTTAGGGTACCGAAAAATCTGCCGTGCATGTCGGCTGAAGCGCTGTATGGAGTGTGGGATGTTGCCGGAGAGTGAGTTCCGATATTTTGCCCAAAAAAGGCAAAAAATGAATGTTTCGTTGTTTAATTGGGATTTGCCGATTGGACGCGCTCTAATGGCGTCTGGATATTGAAATTCACTCAATTTTGCATAGTTCCAGAAATGCCTAAACGTGCTGGTCAGCTTTTTAATAGTATTTTTAGCAAATTTTAACTATACATTAAAATTGAAAAATTATCTAAAACATCAAAAAATGAAAATTCGAGGTTTTCGTCGAAAATGGGACATTTTGCTCGAAAAAATCGATATTTTTGTATTTTTTAAAAATTTATTTAATTTCTGTAATAAAAAATTTCTGGCATTTAAGAATAGTAAAAACGGTATAGAAACAACTCCTCTGCTTATTTTGCAAAAAAATTGGATGCTAGAAAAATTCGTTCTCCCCAGGTAATCCCCCCTCGCTAATGCAAAAGCGCCCACAACTTGATCCAGTTATTAAGCCTGCGAGCAATTCTATACAAATAAAGCTCTTAAAATGGCATAATTTGCTTAAAGATTTCCAAATATACATTTTAGACGTTCAAAACAAACGTCACGTCCCGCCTACGCCTCCACTTCCGATTCCCGGCGGACCGTTACCTGGTAAATTCCTATATTGACTATGACTCGCATTCATTAAAATTACCAAATTTTTTAGTAGACATTTAATGAAACATCAATTTCAATATTAGAATTATATCGAATTTGTAGGCTTGACCGCCTCGGCGTCGGCCGCCCTGTCCGCGTTGCCGCAGATTACCAGTGGTGGGTATTTGTGGGCGTTAAATAGTTCAAGACCAGGTGTGGTCTTACGATTATTTAGGCCGGTTTGGAATACATGAAAATAAGGATAATATCGAAAGTAACGCAACAGGGATTGTCCAAAAAATAAACACGATCTTAGGTACTAGATTCGAAACATTTTTTTCGAGAGCTGTAAAGTAACACAGCGACTATTTTTATTTACCTCGCGGCGATAATAACTTAAAATTTAGAAAATAACGTTAATTAACAGAGAACTTGCTGCATTCTTTATTTTTTTCATATTTGAAACGTTTTAAAAATCGCAATCGAGGGGAAGATGCGCTAAGGAGTTAGTGCCAAATCGGTGCTATCATCAGTTTTGAAGTTGAAACATTTTTATCAAAAATAAAAGATCTACAGTTCTTTCGCAATATCGTAGGATAATAAAATTTAACTATGAATTAAGTGGAGAAACGACCAAAAACTTTTAACAATTTTTAAGTAATTTTGGTCGAAAAATCGAGGTTGTTTTAACTGTAGTAAAAATTAGTAAAATTTTGACATTAAGGAATCGTAAAAACAGTTTACAAACAAATCAGCTATTTCTATTAGAAAAGACCGAGCTTCTCTATATAAAAGCTGCCCCCTCCCCCGATAATGCGCAAGCACCAAAAATTATGTTTCAGCTTCGCTCCTAGACGGGGGCATGCTGGGTACATTTCCGTCGTTCTCAGCCGGCGGCTTCTTCGGAGGAGCATTTGGCCAGCCACAGCCTCATCCGCCTCAATTTCCATCACAATTCCACCAAATGCCTGTGATACATGATCTTCCACATCAACAGCCACCACCTCCACCTCAATCTCAGAACTAAATGAAACATAAGGTCGAAATATAAATCGACAAATTGCATTTTATATATTACCTATATGTTTGTCGTTTTTATCGAAAATCGATAAATTTCGAAAATTTAAATGATTGCGGAAGAAACGATAAGATTCTGAAGAAGGCATTTATACGAACGTAGGAGGGGGGAGATCGCCAGAATTTTTGGCGATTCTCGGGCCCGCTACGGGCCTGCATGCATGTATGCGAGATGAAAGCCCAGTGCCGGGAAAACAGCACCGCACGATGAACTGCTCGAAGAACTCTGCGATTTTTCACTACAAATTTGAGCGAGCATTTTTTGAAATGTGGGATAAGGTTTTTACTTTCTCTACAAAGCTGTTTTACCGGCAACCGCTCCGCAGAATGTTCGGATGAAAAAACGATTTGGCACTCTTTGTTCTGAAGCATGTTTTATTTCTACGATTTCAATCTCAATCAAATTGATATGGTTCAAAACATTGCTACTTTTCCATGCTTTATAACAAGCTTTCTGAATTTTCAGAATTTCCTAAACTTGAATATGGCCTAAAACTATAAAAATAATAGGTATTTTATCATAGGGAGTCTACGAGCGATGGCACTGTACTGTTAGCGGGGGGGGGGGTAGCCGGGGCGAAAGCACCTTTTTGTTTCTCAGCTGTTGCTAATAATTCATCCATTTTTATGGAGTGCTGAAAAGTTGTAGTTTGCTAGAAAATTACAAAGATATTTTGGAAACTTTTGAAAATTCGAAAGACCATTTTAGTCATTTTTCTCACATTTTTGACATCTTTAGAATTATTTATGCATTTTTATAGCTCAAACTATGTAAGTAGCTGTAAAAAAAATTTTATTATCGATACGTGGCCGTACGGAATTAGCGGGAAAAATTTGGTTTCGCCTCTAACGCCGTTTTTCATCGATGTTTCGCCATTTTCTTGCACCAGCATTTTCGTGGGCAAGAAAATGGCAAGGCGGGCAGGGCGGGTCAATTATTTGCTGACATCCCGATTCTCCGCTTTTCCCCTTATCTCTACCCACAAACAGTCAATCTCGCTCGGTTCCCCCAAAAAGATTGTTTCACCTCGAGAATAGCGCATTTTTAGAGATTTATAGATTTTTATAATTTTTGTAGATTTTATAGGTTATAGATTTTATAGCGTTATAGATTTAGAGATTTATAGATTTTCAATCTAGTTATCATTAATCTTCATAATCATCATATTTTATCGATTTTAAGGCCTACAGATTATCATTGATTTTTTTTTTCTTGCTAAATGCCAAAGACCGAAACATCGAAAATATACTACCAATCTAATTTACGAAAAATCAAAAAACTTATATGTCTTTCGATTTTATTGATTGAATATAGTTTTGTAAAACGTATAAAGCTTTAAAAATTAGAAAAAAAAATCCCATTTTTTGTGCTGTAGGATCAACACCGACAAAACTAATTATGAAAAAAAATCATGGTACCATTATTGATTTTTTTTGAAACTCAGAATTTTGGCTGAAATCATCTGTATTTCTAAAATTAGAAAACAAATTCTTCATATGCTGATTCGAAATGTCTTTCTGTGGTTTAAAAAAAGCAAATTTGTAAATATCGCATCCTAAGCGGGGTTTCACAAAATTGTGGCTTACAGCATTCTGAGCGCGTTATAATCCGGGTAGTAGACTCGCTGTAATTTCGTTCCTGCCTGTCGCCATCCCTTTAAAAACCCCCGTAATTTCCAGGATGGTTGCTACGATAGAGGCTACTGTATTCGTGCGCGACGAGCGGCGCATGAAAGAGGAAAAAGTGCAGATGAGACTGCCGGATAATTATTATCCGGATACGGTATGTTGCAGGTTTTTTTGGCTTTTTGTGGATTCTTTATTTTCCCCTCTTTCAAAAATGTATTGGAGATAATTTCTGCAGCAAACTATTGTCATTATGTGAAACATACAGATAGCAAAACTGGAAACCCTGAAAAAACTAAAAAAAGGAACTCAAACAACGAAAAACGAATATCCTGAAATTAGAACAAATAAAAATATAACTATAAACACTTCAATCACCTTTATTAGAAAACTTTAGAAAGACAAGCACTACCGTAGCCAAGGCGTTGAGCCGGAAGAATTTCACTCGATCGGCCAAGGGCAGCAGGCGATGGTTATGTAAGTCACGCCTGCCCTCTCCTCTTCCTCAACAATCTCTGCTAGCCTGCCTCCTACAAGTTCCTTTTAGAGGCGCTATTCTGCAAAAAGGCGCGATGGGCGGCATTGACGCAAAAAGGTTGGTAAAAGTGGACCAAAATGTTTCATGATTTGAAAGCGGTTTTTTCCAATATTTGGGATTATTACTTTCCAATTTTAAGGCCGAAAAAGTTTAGTGACTCGACTCAGGAAAATGGTAACATCGGAGCTGCTTGCCGCGTCGCGGCAAAAAGGTTAGCTGCTTTTGAACAAAAAGACGTTTCAACAGTGTAATAGCCCACCAAAATTTTTAGCTGGAGTATTCCGTAATAGCGTCATATTTAGTATTATACCAGGGTTGAAAAACCGCTTCGCGGCTTTTCAACCCTGGCCCCTTCCAGATCCTGTGAAAGTCCTTTATTTGCATGTTTCTTCCTGAATTCTAGCAAGAAAAAAAGTAAAAAACGGCTCCTCTGTCCCTTCATATAGGCTCCTCCTACTTCCGGCGCATGCTAATTTCCACTAACAAACAGGGTTTTACAAAAACCTATTTTTAATAGCGAAAACCGCAATTTTTCAAAATTTTTATGTGCGTGCAGTCGATTCCGGACCATTCTAAACCTATTGTCGTTTCTTCCCTATCCAAAAAACCCTTGCCCGAGGCTGTAGGAGCGGAACATCCAAACGGAAGTGCATGCAAATATACACACACACACACACACACACAAACACTATTTTTTTATATATAGTAGGATTTTGGGTTGCTATAAAAATATCTAGGTTCCAAAATATCGAAAGTTTAATGCGTCGGTATTTTGTCACGGTTTTGAGGGTTTCGAGGAGATTTTTATGTAAATTCCGGCCTAGCGAAAATGTCGACATTATGGTTTTCGGATTTTTCTAAAAATTTTTACATTTTGAACGTAATACGTTTGGTTCAGGTACACAATGTCCGAATTGAAAGAGGACAAATCGTACCGGTGGCTGATGCGAGAACTGCAGAACACCCAATTCCTCGTGCACCCAAATGTATGTTTCATTGAATTTGTTGGTTTCGGGGAAATACTTTATGATACTAGAATGCTCTGCTTCTCTTAATTTGTTGGATTGTTTTTAAATTGCATAAACACATAACGTTAAAAAAAGTATATATTGTTAAGTGGGTATTTTCCGGTAATCCTCGATAAAAAAATGCCAGATTTTTTGTGAAAGTATGTTACTTCTAGAGGACCCATTTTGGACTGCTTTCTTTGGACTAGTTTGATTCATTTTTTGGACTGCTTTCTCAAATCCTGATTCGTATATGAGAAATTTTGATTTTCGGGGCCATAAAAATACAATTGTCTTTTACTTTTATTTTTATTATTAAACGATGTAATCGATAAATTCCTATTTTATTAATTATTTCTATTTTAATCAAATCCCAGATTGTCCGCCTTGAAGACACGTTCTTCGAGCCGAATGCAGACGGCACCGTCAAGTACACGTGGATCGTCACCGAGCGCATGGAGACCACGCTGCAGGCTTACATTAAGTAAGTCTTAGAGATTTGTTGTTATAAATACACTTAAGCTTAGATTAAACAGGTTAGATTTTAAACCATGGGACGCGTGGATTTGCATTGTTTATTTCGGCTAGCAGAATTACTTGCGATTACCCGAAACACGAGTTTTTTTAACCCATTTTTGTGCTAATGGATGTATTCAAGCATTTTGATTCTTCCAATGGGATATTGTGTTGTGAAAACATTCAAAATTCTGGGATCAGTCTGGCTGGATTTATATTGTGAATTAGAGGCTTTTGTATTAATGCCACTGGAATTAAACCTTTATTTTTACTTCTCGAAGTAGTGGAAATTTCGGCCTTTAAAGATCTAAACTGAGTCAACGATTTTTAATATTATTGAATGGAAGCTCGGGGATTTTGAAGATGTGTTGAAACATAAATCTTTTCCGAAAAGATGCTTCGATTTTTAAATTCTAATTTTTTATTATTATAATAACTTTAACAAAATGGGGTCATCTATCCATTTTTTTGAAACATCCACCTTTTAGCTGATGAAACACCTTTTTCTTTTCCGCCCCAATTTACCTATATTTTCCGATTTTTCGCCTAAATTTCAAAGTGATTGTCAAAAGTGCTTTAAAATTCATCAAAAGCTTCGTCGATTAATTTTAATAGCTTCTTTCCAGCCACATCAACCGCCCGGAGAAGATGGACAAACCGCGTGACCATCGCCACGTCGCCGCCGTCATGACGCAGATTTTTATGGCGCTCGACTTTTTGCACCATCGGGGCGTTATTCACCGGGTATGATGATTTCATAAACTGCTCATACAAATTATACTTTTAAAATCGCGGGTAACATTAAATTTTTATGAAACCTATTTTTTTGGTAATAAATGGAAATTCTTTGCTAAAAAAATCTGTTTTTTTTGCGTTGTTTTTGGGAATCCAAACTTTCCTTAGATACTATTATAGTTATTATACTACTATAAATTTGACTACCGTAACGTCTTCCATTCTTTAATTTTTTAAAGGGTCTGACCGGGCGTGATTTCAAAGCTAGATACGATTTATTATTGAAAAAGCAGGCCCACCTTAATAATAACCATAATTGATTTCTGACTACCTACACAAATACAACATTTTTCATTTCACAGGACCTAAACCCGAAAAATGTTGGCCTAAACCTGCAGACGTTCGACATCAAGCTGCTCGATTTCGGGTGTTCTGGGTAAGAGGGCCGAGTGTCAAGAGGCAAAGAAAAGGTTTCAATTTTACCGGAATTGCCTGCCTAATATTTTGAAAAAGTTGGTATAAACTTTTGTTCTCTTTCATACCATCTTTCTAGATTTTGATTATTGAAATATCGCCAAGTCTTTTATGTATTCAAATAACTTCTTTTAGTCTGACTGTGTCTGATGGTAGCATGACGACGAAAGGGCGTGTCGGGACCCCGCATCTCTACAGACCGCCCGAGCTGCTCGTTCCGAATTGCCCCTATGATTCGAGAGGTAGGCTAGCAGAGATTGTTGAGGAAGAGGAGAGGGCAGGCTAGCAGTGATTGCTGAGGAAGTAGGTCGAGCTAGAAACTGCATTTTTAGTGGACGTGTGGGCGGTTGGGCTGATTGCGCTGGAGATGCTGGGAAAGAAGCTGTTCCTGCCCAGCAGTATCCCGAATGCAGAGGGCGTTGAGAAAGATGTGCGTAGAGAGAGAGAGAGAGAAAGAGAGAGAGAGAGAGAGAGAGAGAACAAGAGAGAGAGAGAGATTTCAATAGCAAAAGTAATTCCAAAAATACTTCAGTTTTAGAAGCTGTTTTCGGCGTACGAAGCGGCGATGCTGCAACGCGTTCTCGACGTGCTCGGGGTGCCGGAGGATCGCTATGAGGAAGTGTGGGTTTTATTATGATATATGTTTGGGAAAGATGTATTTAAATTAACATAGCATTAAGTCGATTTATTTAAAATTAAATACAGCTACATAACGTTTTCTCCAGTTTCGGCAACCATCTGGCGAGGATAGATGAACGCCCCAGTAAACTGCGCGAAGAACTGCAGGGGCCGTTGGGGCTTCTTGGCCCGGAGATGAACGCGCTCAGGAGTGGGTTTAATGAAACATAATTTTTTTCAGGCAATCGACTTAAATACCTGCAATATTGAAATAAAACCTTATTAAGTCCAGAAAAAATGTTTTAAAATTTTAGAATTTCGCAATTTTACAAAATCCGGATTATGTATGTCCGACTGCTCTTAAAATGAGCTTTTTTGAAAGTAGGCGTTTCAATTATTATTAGTTCAAAAAGATTAAAATACAACGTGTAATTCATACAGTAGTGTTTTTCTCCAAAAAAATGTTTCCAAAAATTTCCATGATCTAGAGTTTTTCTTAGCCTGTGATTATCTCGCTTTAGCCAATCATATTTTCAGCTGCCGACCTCGAGAACCTGCTCTACAAGATTTTTACGGTTAACCCGCAGCGGCGGCCGACAGCCACGAATTGCCTGCGCCATCCGTATCTCGTGAAAATGCATGTAAGTTGCGTTTCAGGCATTTTTAAAGTACCCCCCAGGCCGGTTTAATGATTTTCAAAAATTGCAGGAAAAATATAAGCCAACCGAGGCGAGGGGCAGCCTGGAAGCCGACAAACGGGAAGTTGCCGATATGCTGGAACGATTCTCGAAAAAGTTGGATCTTTGAAAATTTAAGGTTTAGCTCAATCATGCAACATATTTATGGAATAAATTGTTGTCATTCGATAGATCTATATTTCCAGCGCTTAATCTAACCCATTGTTAACATAAATATTCTTATGAAGCCCAAAGGGGAATTCAATTAACACCAATTTCGGGGAAAATCAGTTTAGTGTCGTTTTCGCATACGCTTTTGAGGTGCAACTAATCGGATTTTTAGACTTTAAAAATTAAGTTTCGTGGATTTTCCACTTTATCCATCCTGGGCCACGACTAATAATTCCTCTTTTTGTGCCTATTCTTGATACGGAAAACCTTCGATGAAAAATGTTTTCCATAACAACTTGAAAGTCCGTATTTTGGATCTCGATATAATTGGTGAGCTTGACCGGTATTTTACAAACTTTTTGGACCAGAAAGTGCATTAAAAAGCATTAAAAATTCGACAAATTGGCTTTTCGGTCAAAAATCTGTGGTAAAAGATCAAAAGTCGAATCGTTCAGTATTTTTTTAAGAACTTCCTAACAATCAAAAACTATAAAAATCCTATGAAAATACGTTATATATTGTTAGGGGGAAAGATAGAATATTAGCTTCCCCTAAACCCCCACCCGCTGAAAATTTATTAGAAAGTGTGTTTCAAAAATGTTTAAAAAATGCGCGGTTCTAGTTTTAAGTAGTCTAGCCCTATCTGCGTAATTAATATATACTTTGCATTTTCCAACTTTCCACATTTTAACAAAACACATTTATATACCACAATATAAAGTAGGGTATGAAAGGCAAATAACAAAAAAAGCAAGAGAGTGGAATATGTCAGATTCGGTTGTTCACAGCATGTTTCGGATCGGCGGGGGTGGTTGAGAGGGAATAAAATGCACCATCTTTTTTGCAAAAAATCAGCATTAAAATGAGAATATAAATAATTTCGTAATTTTTACAGAAATATTCCGGTCTAGCATCACAAGTGGAGGTGGTTTCTTTGCCAAAAATGAGAGTTTCAACGGGTGGGCAGGTGCATTAGAAAAAAATGGAAATTAGCATAACGAATTAAAATATTGGCGCGGCGCGCGGCTTGGCGCTGCGGTTCCCGGGCGGCCATTTAAGAACACCGTAATTTTCCGTTCGAAATACCGTAAGAATATGCAAATTTTGCCTATAGATCGTACCCAAAAATCGTCAAAAAAATGAGAATTATAATGCTGGCCGTGTGTTTTTGCTGGCCCGGGGGCCGTGTGGTACCCGTGTCGGTGTCGCGTCAAAAATCCGTGGGTCTCGAGACGATTTTGGGGGTTACTGTAATTATTCAAATAGATTGAAAAATTTTTTAGGGTTACTGTATCCCCCGAAAATCGCCTCGAGACCCTGGGAAGACAAGTGAAAAGCTGGGGGTTTTTTGTATATGTACAGGAGCAAAGTGGGGGCGCATTAATGGGAGGGGAGGCTGAGCGATAGCGGAAAGACGGGTTTATAGTTATAGTTACGAAAAATCTAAAAATTTTGGTTTTGAAAGATTTAGAAATTTTATGTTTCAGGAAAAGTATTTAATCAGAAAATGTTTCGTTCTTGGAATTTTAAGCTGTTGAAACTGGCAAAAATAAAAGTTTTACCGAATTGGCATGTAGACTTTTTCAGCTTCGATGGAAAACCGCAGACTAAGCAAAAAAAAAGAAGTTTCATTCGACGTATTTAAATAAAACCATCTACGCCACTTGATTTGCATATCCAGCATTTGTTTTTAATAAGCTCTAAATTAAATCCAACATTTCCCTAGTATCGCTCAACGCCCCCGGGCCCCAAAAACGCAAAATTTACATCCGAAATTCGGGCTTAAGGGTTTTTTAATAAAGCAAAATCGTGGAGGATTTAGGTATTTTGAAGGCGGTGAAGCTTGAGCTTCTACCGTAACGCCGTCGATTAATATCCACACGAGACGGCGATTGGCGACTCGAGGAAATCGCGGCGTTCCATCGAAATTGAGAGGTCGGCGTTGATCGTGACGAGGATTGAGCCCCAGCCGGAGAGGTACAGCTGAGGGCTGGCCAGTACGGTGTCGTCACTGAAAAAGGATGAATTAAATCAAGCTATTTATTCGATTAAATTACGTGTTTTTTACTGAATGAATTTATTTATGCACAAAAATACATCGTAGTATTGCCACTGAAACCTGGGGATTTTTGAAAACTTTTGAAACATCAGCCCTTAAAATTAACAACATCGACTGTTTTGATAGAGAATAATAAATTAATGGTGAATTATATTAGAAAAACTATCGGATTGGCATGATTTTAAGAAAAACGAATTTTTCATGCCTATCATAGTCCAAAAAACGCACTGCTCGTGAAGGATGTGGAAGGTCCAGTGGCCGTGGCCGCAGCCGCACAACTTTGGCTCGTAGACGGTCTCGTTTTCCGACGACGCGCCGGGCTTCATCTCCTCGGAGCACTCGCCGTTCGGGGCGCAGACACGCACGCGGCACGGAACGCGCGAGGTGACAGCGACGGCTACCTAGAAATTTTCAGATAATGAGCGATCTAATATTACAAATGTTTTAAGAATAAAAGTTGAGAATTTTTCAATTTTTCGATTTTATCCCGCCTATCTAACGATGCATTAACTTTGTATATCGGACTTTATAATTACGATTGATCGAAACATTTTTTCTTACCCCCTTTTTTTGGAATCGCCATATTTGTAAAGTGCAAGTTGGTCTGTGATGCTTTTGAGGAGAGAGAGAGAGAGAGAGAGAGAGAGAGACGGCGAGCGAGAGAAACTGGTAAAACGAGTAGCTATCAGCATGCAAAGCCGATAAATACGAGTCGGCTGCTGTCGGCCGTAAATATTTTTTGAGTGCTTGAAAAACGAGTGGCGAGAATAAATAGATTATATCGTTCTATATGCGTATATAGTTTTTTGATGCACACCAATTTCATGACACCAAAAATTATATTTTTTGCAAATAATTTTTTTGAAAAATTATGTTTAGTACAAATAACTAAAGCCTTTTGAATTTGTTATACTAGTCGTTGTTTGCAAGCCATTTGCAAAAGTATTTCCGGAAATTCTCTGGGAATTCTCAATTCTTTTATTTTCTCCGGAATTCTGCCCTTTCCGGGTGTTTTGCCGCGGTTCCCATTCCACCCACCCGGGGCTTCTCCACTCCGCACAACAAAGGCGCCAAATAAAAAGAGGGCAACCGAGCACCAAGGGCAAAATGGGGTGAGACCGGAGGGATTCGGGAAAGGGAAAGAGGGTTGGAGAGAGAGAGAGAGAGAGAGAGAGAGAGAGAGAGAAAGAGAGAGAGAGCGCTAAAAAATAGTGCGGGTTGCAGCTGGGCCGCACGGGCCCAGCCCGTGCCGCGCCCAGCAAACTGCACTTTTTGTGGGTCTGTCTGCTAACTTGGCTTTTTGTATGATGATTGGCCTCTCAAATCTCCGTCTGTCTGTATCTCTGCCTGTCTGTATCTCTCTCGCTATCTCTCTCTCTCTCATTCGTCCAGACAGTTTTATGTCGGTACGTCCTTCCGTCTGGACCCGAATCGTCTGGCCTTTTTCTGCGCATCCTCTCTCTCTCTCTCTCTCTCCCTCTCTCTCTCTCGCTTCCCTGCACTGCGGCCGCACTTTTTTGCGCCGATTTTCGTCGAGCCGGCGGAGTCGGGGAGTGCAACCGAACTGCTGGGCCCGGGAGTTATTTTTAGGAGTCTATCCAGGAGAGAATAGGAAGCATAGTACAAAAGTACTACTCTGCTCAAACCCGGAAAATGGAAAAATACAACCCCTTTTGTAGAAAAACAATGTTTTATCAAAGTGACTAGACCAGAAGTATCGAGAATAAAGGTGATTGACGCAAGCTACGTGTTTCAAAAATCCAGTTTTTGTCGGGGAGCTTTATAAATTAATTGAAAATGATGCTATATTTTTAACAAACTATCTTATAATTTTTTCAAACGACAAGAACAGTGTTTGAAAAAAAGCCAGCTGACGACAAATTGTGAATCTGGAATTCTTGGAGCAACATGCGATGTTTCAAAAAATTGCCTAAACCCCGAAATTTTCATCTGGCTATTCACCAATTTTTACTCCTCAAATCCCGAATTCCACAACTGTACGGCCTCCTCCGTACTACGGTGTTATTGTTGTTTTCCAGCGCCGAGAAATTTCTGGCGGCTTTATTTTTGGCTATGGCTGGGGGGGGGGGGGGGCTTTTTTGGTCGCCCTGGGATGTAAATATGGGCTGGCTTCTGGCCAGCCGGGCTGTACGAATTGGCGATTATCACCGCAGCAGCAGCACGCGGCCAGACAGTGTGTTCCCCCAAAAAATATATACTAAAAATCGGGCTGGAACCCCGGGCAGTTATCAGTGATTTCAACGAAATGTTGAGTAATTCGAAAGAATTCGAATTTGGATTGAGAGAGAACGAGACAGAGCGAGAGAGAGAAAGGGAGAGAGAGAATTTAGTAAATTAAAATTCTTAAAACTCGGAATTCTCAATTAAAATTTCCGGTCCTTTTGCTTTGTCGGGGGAGGCAAGCTTTTCAATGTTTTTCAATTTTTTTGCTATAAATTTTTTAGCTTTTCAAAGTATGCGTTTTTGCTATACAAATAACGTTTTTTCAGCCTTTTTAATAATAAAAAATCTTGATCAAAAAAACACTCACATCACGGGCCTTAATCTGGCACTGACGACGCGGCGACTCGACCTCGACGATCTCCTCGGCCGTCTTCAGCTCCTCGGCCGGGGCGGCGCCGTACAGCTTGAACATGCGGCGCAGCCCGGAGAACTTGCGGGCCATCGTCGGCGAGCCGGGCTGAAATTGGAGAGGTGAATGGTATTTTTTATAATACACTGCTTGATGTATTTTTGGTTGAAAAAATGTTTCATCAATTTCCAAATCTCAGCGCACCTTTCACTAGCCAATTAAACGACTTTTTTTAAATCGGAACGTTTGAATGTTTTGATTCAGAACTTTTTTTAATTTTCTAATTATCTCCTGGGAAAAGTTA